TTCAAATTATATTTAATTATATCAAATATCTAATTAATCGATTGCACTATATATTTTTATATTTATTAATGATCACCAAAACTATGGAGCAAACATTATAAATAAAAAATTTAAACAAATCTATACTATAAAAGATGGTCAACTCTCTCCATATGAGTGCCTACTCATCATTTTGGTTTATTGTAGAAATGACATGTGTCATTTTTAAAAAATTAATGATACAAATGATGTCAAATACAGTTAATACATAAATTTAATATATCAAGTATGACGAATTAGATAATATATTTTAATAATAATATATACATAATATCCAAAAAAAATTATTGAATATCTATTTTGTGGTAATTTTTAAAAATCATTAACAAAATTTATGTTTTATATTGAAGAGTGTTTTCTTATTTTTAATTAATATATAAGATACTATTATAAAAAACTATTATACAAATATAAAAATAATAATAATTTGATATTTTGAACCTTAAAAAGTTAGAAGAAAAATTTATACAATATTATAATAAACTTTAAAACATTTTTTTATAAAATAATAATTATTTGATAATTTATTTTATTCAAACTTGATCCATTAATAATTTTAAAATTAATAAAATATCAAAGTCCTAATATGTATATTTATAAAATATTTAATGCAGCTGTATAAATTAGAATTATAATTTGATTATTTAAACTCATAAAAATATAAAACCACGGCAATGCTATTGTGTAAATATACGCCGTGAACAAGTACGACATGTTTAAAAGAGTCGTCTCTATCTATGTAAGAGTTTCTCTAATTAGTTTTTGTTATATGGTAATTCTCTGATTTGCATTATATCCATTTAATATATTCTATATATACAAGGTATAATATATTTCATATTTTCTTATCAATAAACTATTGATCATATATATAGTTAATATCCATATCATATGTAAATATGTCTTGTATGTATAATCAAATACACAATATCCTTTAAAAAAATTTAAATATACGATAAAATAAATTGTAACTACACTTTTTAATAAATTATTTTGTGAAAAAATATATGTTCATCACGCGAGTACACATCTAGTAATAATTAAAAAATACTAACTGCATAAATTTAAAGCATATTCTAAAAACATGGATTTTACCATATTTTCAAAAATATTCCAAACAATATTGATAATTGTTTTATTGAGATGTAATAAATCGCCATATTAATAATAATAAAAAGTCAGTAAATGAATAAAATATTTTCATAACTCACAAAAAAATTAAAAAAACATTTATTATAATATGATTTCAACAAATTATAAGGGAAATGAAAACAGTAACTTATGTTATCACATTTTCTCTAATTTGTTTGGCTAAAATTGTTCTCTATATATATTTTTCCAAACATCAATATTTTTTAATCGAAATTAATTTTTATTATATTTTATATATTTTTTAGTTTATTTATTGTGTATAAGGTTGTTATGTTTAATTGTATAGCTTTTCATTTATCATTCTTTTGTTTGAGGAAGAAGGAGAAGAAGAACAAACAAGAAGGAGAAGAAGAAGGAGGATAAGGAGAAGTGATGAAGAAGAAAAATGAACGAAGAAGAAGAAGAAGCAGGAAAAAAAGTGATAAAAAGAAAGGATGAAGAAGAAGAAGAACGAATGAGAAGAAAAAGAATTAATGAAGAAGAACCACATAGAAAAAAAAGAAATACGGAGAAGATGAAAAAAAAAATGGAGAAGAAGGAGAATGGATGAAGAAGAAGAAGGCATGAAAGAGTAGGAGAATAAGAAGAAGGGACAAAGAAAAAGAGGAGATGAAGGAGAATATCGAATAACATAAAAGAAATGATGGAGGAGAAGACGAATGAGTAACAAATGTCGTTAGTTCGACTGATAAAAGATCCTAGAAAAAGCTTAGGGGTCACTTGATCGAGTGATGCTTGGACAAAACTAATATTACATGATGTGATTTTGGGCCTGGAGAGATTGAAGGCTTCAGTCTAAAACCTTTTGGTAATCCAGAAAAGAAAAAAAAGAAGGAGAAGAACAGAGAATAAGAAAGGAGAATAAGAAAAACGAAGGAGAAAAAAGAGAATGAGAAGAACAAAAATAGATGAATGAGGAGAAGAAGAAGGGATTAAGAAGAAAGAGAATAAGTAGGAGAATAAAGAGAAGATATGAATGAGAATAAGAGTGGATGAAAAAGAATAACAATAGAGAAGAAGAAGGAGAAAAAAAAGAGAAGAAAATGTGAAGAACGAGAAGTACTAATGAAGAAGGAAAAGGAAGGAAGGAGCGGAAGGGATGAAGAAGAAGAAATAAAACGAAGAAGAAGTGATGAAGAAGAACCACAAAGAAGATGAAAAACAGCAGAGAAGATGAAAAAATAATAGAAAAATAAAACCAAATACGAAAATATTAGCCCACGCAAAGGAAAATGAAGGAGAAAAAATAAAAGAAAAGGGAAAATAAAAAGAAGAAGAACAAAAATATACAACTAGCTAATATATACTCTTATTCATATAACTGAATTATAAAAAGAATTAAGATGTCAAAAATTAAATTCTTTCTTTCAATTGAATTGCCAAAAAATATATATAGAGAAGTTGGGTTCAAAAAATAACAGTAAAATAAAACATGAGAAAATTAGTTAATATGGTTAGATTTTGTTTAAAAAAAATAGGAAAAAAAGAAGAAGAAGAAGGAGAAGAAGGGAAAAGAACATAGAAAAAAGGAAATAAACATATAAAATGAAGAAGTAAAAGAATGGAGAAGAGGAGAAGAATATAGAAAAAAAAAGATGGAAGAAATAAAAAACGGAAAAAAGAGAAAAATATATATGAAGAAAAGGAAGGATAGAGAAGAATAAGAAAAAAAATAGATAAAGGACAAGAAAAATGAAAAACAAGAACAACATACAGAAAAAAGAAGAATGATGAAGAAGAGGAAGAAAAAAAAAGTGATAAGAAGAACTGAGAAGATGAAAAAGAATAGAGAAGAAGAAAAAAGAATGGAGAAAAAGAAAGAAAAGAAAAACGAAAAACAGAGTATAAGAATGACGAGAAAGAAGAACAAAGAATAGAAAGGAGAAGGAGAAAAAAAAACTAAATACAATATTTAAAATATATAATCTTTTACAATAACAACTCGCATATCTACAACTATAACGTATTTGAATAAGTTACATGTAACTTATGTTAACTTAATATTTTTATACTTAAAAAGTTAATTTAATTCTCATAACACAAAAATAATGTATTATTAATATAATTATAAAATAAACTTATTATAAACCTCATACTCATAGCATATTTTGTAGATTGAATAATTTTATTTTAAAAAACTTCATTCCTGCGTGGATGCACATACATTTGCATAGTCGACAATTATCTCGATCAACACAAAACATAATTTATTAAGAATAAATCACCAATTTTTTGTTCATCTAATTTAAAATATTCGACAAATATATTTCGAGTGTAAAAAAACTTATTTAACTACTTATAATTATATATACAAATGATAAATAATTATATTTATCTACTTAAAATCTTACTTTATTTAATTATTAAAATAATATAATTTATGTAATAACCCATCTTATACTATATAATTTGAATATTTATAAAATTCATTTCAAAAATTATATACCTGCGCGGGTGCGCATGTACAACATCTAGTTAATCTCTAAAAGAAAAAGATTTGTCATGCATGGAGTAAAATATATATCACACGATTTCAACCTTTCTCAAAATATCTTATTTATCATTACTATGATTTGCTGAATTTTCTCATCAAGTAATACCAATTAAGTAGTTGGTCCGTACACATATGCACATATGACTTTTTTATAAATATAATTAATTGTTATATTTAAGTATTGTTTAATTTTTTATACATTCTATAAATGTTATATTTGTATATATATTTTTAATGTTTAATGCAATTACACAAATATTTCATATCATTTAATATTTTTTGCAACTAATTTATTTATTATTTTTCTAAGATTTACAGTAACATAGATTTGAAAATTAAAATAAATTTTACCATCTTTACTTATCATAAAGTTCTCTCCTAGACCCGAGTTTCAAGATAGTTTCAGCTGTCTGGTTTGTGCCTCGGTTTTAGTCAACTACCCGGTTTTTTTTTTCTAAATAGAAAGATTTTCAAATCAAACAATTTTGGAAGACAAACCACCGTGGTTCCACCCCACCTTGGTTTCGGTGGGTCCACTCTCCTCCGACTTTGGGCCTGGGAGATCCAGGAAATAAGTGTGCTTATCTCTTTGGTGTGAATAAGACCAGGTGATATATGATGAGAGACTTTGTAATACTTATTTTTATTTTTTTTTTATAAAAATGTTTTTTTTTTTATTTATTTAGAAATGGTGGTCCAGGTGAGAACGAACCAGCAGGCTATAGTGGATCTGGGAGGCGCCGAGCTGTAATCCGTCCACTGCTGAGAGCGGGAAGTAGTCGTTGCTCTGTGAAACCAGCCTCACGCATTACCCTCCGACTTTAGCACCCGCCTGACCTAAGCCTTCGCTCGGACCAGACAGCTAACTCTCAGCTTGGACTGGGCAGCTCAGAAACATGCCACGCCAGATCCGACCTGTGGAACCGAACCATTGTTCCACCATCTTATTGTCCCCACTCGAGTCACAAGCTCTGTTACTTAGCTCGACACTTTGTAATACTTATTGCAATCTTGCACATTAAAATTGCAAATTTCAATAAAACTTTCTTGATATAGTTGGTCACCAAACTTTTCAATAAGAGAATGAAGCACAAAGCCATGAATATAATTTTTCTAAATTGAAAACAATTAAAATTTAAGTTAGATTAAAATTTTATTTATAATAAATAGTAAAATATTATCGTGTAAGAAAAGTAATGGTTACGTTTTCATCAAGTAGGAGTAAATTTAATCCTATGTACTCGCAGGGTTACAGCTCATAATCTCAAAACGATCTGCAATTAATTTAAAGCAAAAGCTTTAACCAAAAAATGGGTTAGTAAATCGAGAACCAGGTGGAGAGGTACGAAACTGATGAAGGGGTGTTTGGAAGCGCCTGAGAGAGAGAGTCTAGTCGAGCTCGAAGCAGTCTCTTGATGTCTTCCACAATAGTAACCGTCGGGCGGAAGACCGCCGAATAAAGTCTAGAATTCCTTTCCTTCCAAATAGCATATAAAGAAGCTTGGAAAGCGAATCTGATGATGAGGGCGGCATTCTTGGTAGCCGGTGGGCTGGCCATCCAGTTGAGCAGCAAAGCGAAAGGCAGAGGAGGATGGACGTTTGCAGGCGTGGTAAAAGCCGTCCACACCTCTTGGCTGTAGGGGCAGTTGAAGAATAAGTAATCTCTTGATTCGTCAACAGAGTTGCAGAGGAGGCAGACGGTGGGGATAATCAGACCCCAATCCCTAAGCCTGTCTCTAGTGTACAGCCTGTCCCTAGCAGCTACCCAACAGATAAAAGCGTGTTTTGGTATCCTTCCAGAAGACCAAAATGCTTTATTCCAGGTGACAGCAGGCGGGCATGGGTGAAGGAAATTCCAAGTAGCCGATGCTGAAAATGCTTTTGGGACCCCTTGAGGACCTAGTTTCCACTTGTAGTAGTCATCCTCCTCGGCTGTGGCTATTGGCAGTGGATCTGGCAAACACTGCCGGATCAAGGAGATGATAGGATTGTGACTCCTAAAGCCTTGAATCCACCAAGCCCCTCCGCCACAACCGCTATGCTCGGAATACCACATATTCGAGGTCTCTATGTACCCGTGAGATTGATCAGATGACCCATTCCTGTCCAATTGTCATGCTAGAAAAGAGCTGTGAGGTCCGAACCCCATTTCTTTAAATTTCTTGCTTTCCATTTTTGAATGAGATGTAGTACCGTCGGACGATATGAACATTTCTTGTATAACTGGTTCAGTGTCAAATGCTTGCTATGGTTGATTTGAACACTTGAACTCGTTGTTTTGATGATATTTATGCTGTAAAGAATATTAAAATTAAACTAAAGTTAGAAAATTAACTAAAACTTGTAAAAAAGAAAAGAAGAGTAATAAAATAACGTATATCAAACTTGATAAATATATTTTAGCTTAGTTTGATTTTTTTCTTTTATGATTGGAATTTTGATAAACAATAGAAATAAAATATGGTTTGGACTTTGGAGTTTGACCCATCACTTCTAAGTTATAACCGAACATATTCATGCATTAACAGTACTCCTACTTGATTTGTTGCATTAACCAAAGCAATATAATTACGCAAGAGTAATAACATAACGTAACATAACCATGCATTAACAATACTCCCACTTCTACTTAATACATTAACCAAAGCCGTATAATTACGTGCATGAATATACAGTAACGTAAAGTTATTACCGTTTTACATAACGTAAGGCAGTAATATTAACGAACTTTAAAAATAATAAAAGAAGAAAAATTATACTATCAGTAAAAAGAAATTTCAAAAATAATTATTTTGCTTGGTGAAAAATTGTTAGGGACTTTGTTTGTTTATATAGATATAAATAATAGATTTCCTAAATTGAAATTATTTATATAAAATTTTATTTTTAAATATATTATTTGATAATTATCACATGTCAAAATCTTATCGATTTAAATCACCATGTGTCGTGATCAAGTTTTTTTTTTGGTCGAGTTCTGAGAACCAACGTTCCCAGTTTTATTACAAAGCAAGAAACTCAAATAACTAGTGTACACGGCGAACTCTTCTCGGATGCTCAGGTCCACTCTTATCAGCCTGCAATAGCGGGGCTACACTGGCTGGAATCATGTCTAGCTCGTGGAAGCCTAAAGAAAGTCAGAAGACATAATTAGCTTATTACTAACTTTGATGCATCTAACTTTATAAAATACTAGTGGGTGATCCGTGCTTCGCGCGGAATTTTATATACTGTTAATAATGTAATTAAAAAAACTTTTAGTAAGTTTAAAATCTTATTTATTTAACTATTAACGGTTTGTGGTTGATATTATAAAACTTAATCTATACAATTGAGTATGTATATATAAATAAAAATATTAAATAAAAAAAATTATTCATAAAATTTATTACATATTTAAGTTTCAAAAAATTATAATCATATATAAAATTTAAATAGTTGCATATTAAATCTTCCTTTTAGAATGTTAATTTTGGATCCAAAAAAAATATATTAAATAATATAATTACATTTCTCCTTTTCTAAATTTTAGCTTGATATTCATTTATCCGACATTAATCTTTTTTTTTCAAAAAAATGTAACTAACAATATTGATCTTATTTCATAACTGGGAAAATTGAGGAAATGACCTAAGTTAATTGCAAAATTAAAGATTCGGAGCCAATAATTGATAATTAGATCGATACATATTATATATATAAATTATGACTATATTGTCTTTATAATTATTTGATGCAGTTTTGGTGGATAACAATTTGATTACCATGCTAACTAATATGATATTTTTATAACTGTGTTAACTACGCTAACTAATATGATATCCTATTAGCACATTGAAATAAATAGCATGTTAACACAATAGTTATCATGTTAACTGTGTTATCATGCTAACTAATATGATGCTTGATTAGCACAATATACAAATATCAAGTTAACATGATAACTATTATGTTAACGTTGCTATTATTTTATGAAAAATTGGAGTTAACTTTGTTAAATGTATAAGTTATACAAAATTATCATGTTAACAATGTTATCATATCAACAAATTATCATGCTAACGTTGTGAGCATGATAACATTGATATCACAATCTTTCACCTACTGATTATCACCATCACCGGCTATCACCAACACCACCCCATCATTAATCATCACCAGCACCACCGCCGGTAACTCCATCACCACCACCCCCGGTGCCTCCATCACCACCACTACCGACAACACTTTCGCCACCACTGACCATCACCAACATCACCACCAACACTACCCCATCATCGACCATCACCACCACCACCACCGCCACCATCACCACCATCACAACCGCCGGCGATTCTATCAACACCATCAACCACCACTACCGTCATCCACCACCACCACCACCAACCACCGCCACCATTGATAACATCGTCACTGCCCCATCTTTCCTTTCGATCTTCTTCTTTTTTCTTTCTCATTTTTTCCTTCCTTTTCTAACAAATGAATAGAATACAATAATCTTTTTAATAGAAACAGTAGATATCAAAAAAATTGTCAGTTTCTGTCGAACGCTGTCGATTAATTTTGATATTAATTAAGTCTATTCATTACAATTGCTCCTATTTTATCTATTATAAGATACTCTTATAATCTTATTTCTTTCTCTCTCTCTCTCTCTTTTTCTACCTCTTTTTTTTCTGATAAACACAATATATTAAATTATAGACAATATTTTAGTCTGATTGTAACTTAACATTTAACAACGTTTTTATCTGATATAAACATCAAAGTTCACAACTGTAAGACTACGTAAATGAATAGCTATCCCGATTGATATTTTCATGGACTAAACATCATAGTTCTTTAAATTAGTATAATAGATATTCTTATTTTACATTATAAAGTTATAAAATATATTAACTCTATTTTCTTTCTCTTATATAAATGCAACATATTGAGTAAGGACAACTTAACTTTCACAATATTTTAACCTGGTATAAACACTAAACTTTACAATCATAAGATTAAGTAAATATTCATATTTGTCTTCTTAACAGATTAGACATCATAAATTATTCAAATTAGTGTCATAACATATGCTATTGTTTTAGAATACAAAGTTTTGAAATGAATTAATGATGTTATTATTTTGTAATGATTTAATCTGTTTGTAACATTTTGACTTTTTACAATGAATTTAATCTGTATGTATTTGAGAAAAATGATTTATATTTGACTATTTTTAATTTTGTTTTCTATCTATAACTACCGAGTTAATTAAATAAGAGTACTATTTTTACTAATCATATAAATAAAAATATATAAATTATTAAAATTATTATTAACTTTTTGATGTATATAGAAATAACTATTTTCTAAATTATATAAATAAATTTGATAAAACTGAAATGATCAAATTAGAGTTTCTTTAAGTTAATATGTAAGAATCTATCTTTTATGAAGATATGACTTTTCAACTTCTATTTAAAACTATTATATCAATGAATGTTAGTTATTATAAGAACTAAAAGATAAAATGATATGAAAAATAGTAAATGAAAAAAAACTTGAAATTAACAAAAATAATAGATGATGTGTCACAATTTAGAGATATGAGCTGATGATGTGGCAGCATAAGAAGAGAGTCTATTCTACTTTATATATTTAGAAGATGGGGCTTGTCTTAAATAATTAGATTTCTAGTAAAGTAGGCTTAGTTAGTACGAAATAAGAAGTAAAATCTGTACAGTTTAAAAAAATAAAGATAAATAACAAGAGTAGTTTAAACTATATTGAGAATTAAATAATATACATTTATATTTATTGATTTTTTAGTTTTCTGTGCCTTTTATAACAAATATTTAATTATTATAATAATTAGTACATAATTTTCGAAACAAATTTAATTTCCGAAACTAATTTAATTTAAAAATATTTGTAATTATAATTTTTTTACACTCGTAGGAAAAACGCATGACATAGTATAGAAATTGGTAGGAAAATAATAGGAAGAAATTAAATAATATTGGTAGGTAAGTGGTAAAAAATAATTTTCTAACAGATAATTTCGTAAGAAGTCGGTCAGTACTTTTCCACCACTTTCTTATCAATATTTCAGATGCATTTTTCTACAACTTTATTTTGTTAAATATTCCTACGAGTTATCTACCACATTCGATTTACAACAAAAAATAAAATACAACATATTTTTATAGAAAAATAATAGAAAACAGTAGGGATGGACGTTTATCCGGATCCGAAAATCCAATCCAAAATACCTGATCCTAACCAGTATGGATCCTTCACAATACTCGATTGGATATAATTGTTGGTGACTTCTGGATACCGGGTAATATCCGGACCCAATCTAATATTCGAAAAATTATCTGAAATATCTGATTCTCTAAAATTTCTTAGTACTTATGTTTCATGTTCTTTGTATCTATATCTTTTGGTGACAATTTCAAATAGGAACTTAAAATTTTTTTATTGTTTAAATTTTTAATGTTTAGTTTGATTTGAAATCAATACTATTTTAGTTATTTTTGAATTTTCATGTTTAGATTATTGATTACTTTTCAGTATTTTTGGTTACATTTGGTTATTTTGGTTATTTTTTGGATAAAAAATATTTGAACCCGAACCGAATCCAAAAAATTGAATCCGAAAAGTTATATTCGAACCGATCCGATCTGGTAATCCGAATACCCATCCCTAGAAAGCAATCATTATTAATCAACCTCCTACAATATTTTCCATAGGAAATGGTGTTGTTTTCATGTAGTGAAAGATTTTGCAACAATACTTAAATTGTAATAAATTTATAATATTTTATTACAATTTTACTACAAATTTGTTGTGTTAAATATTGTTACAATTATTGTGTGATAAAGTTGTAGCACATATGCCACAACCCCAAAATTGTCTCTAATTTATCTCTAATTAGCTACGAATTTCTAATAATTTGCTACAAAAATAAAACTTTAAAAAACATCACTAATTTGTATCAATTTGTAACAAAATTTTGCTAGTGCCGTAATAAATTTTGTGGCTATGCTACTCAATTCTTGTAGTGAGGAAGAACATAAAGAGACGCGTTGTTTGGCGAGTAACTCGTTAAGCTTGTTCATGAGCTTAGGATCAGAGCGTACATACTCTTCCATGGACTTCCTCAGATTCCTCAGTGTCTCCGTGTCATCTCCACAGGTCTGTCTGTTGAGCAGCTTCGTGAACAGTTCCTTCTACAGATCCACATTCCAGTATCTGCCAAGTTAGATCGAGCAAACAACTTGGTGTATCGATATCATTTCAATTCAAGAACAAATTGATCGTTGATTTTTTCAGAAATAAGCGCACCTTTTAAATGTAGCTATCCTTGAGTGCTTGTTTCTTTCCAACCGCCATGTAGGTGTTGTGCAGCATCATGTGCACGATTACACAGAGTCCGTTTATCATAGAAAAAATCATACAAAACGTTTATGGTCAATAAAAAATCCGTTGAACAAGTTTATAATCAAACCTTGTTAAGGAAACCGTTACATATAATATCCAAGATATGTTATACATATGTATATAAGATCATACAATCGATCAGTTCATAATAAGCAGCAAAATATATAAACAAAACGAAAGGTATATATACTCCATTATATTTTCTTCAAATATATTTCTTGCTATACAGTATACTTATTTTTTTATTATACTTATATTTTTTTTATATATTCTATTATAGATGTCTCTACTCCATTATATTTCTTTCAAACGCTGATTTTGAGTTTATTTTTGGGAACGTTTTGATCTTTTGAAGGATATCCAGACGACGAGTTATTGTAACCTATAGAAATATAGCTAATGGCAACCAAACAAATTTCATCTATTTTATTATCTTTGGTGATGGTGTAATGGTGTTTGCTCTCATTTCTATGCCCAATATATTTATTTGCTTAGAGCTAAATTGTTTTATATAGAAGCCAAAAAATAATAGTTTACAATCCATAATTCTGTAAAAAAAATCAAGCAATTTATAACTGATTGAGTCAAAATCATTAGACGCAATAAGTTTTGTTTGTGTTTGCGATTTACATATTCCTTACTGAATTATTTATTTTTGTATTTATAATATTGCTAACTGTTATGAACTGAATAGGCGCAGGCAAAGGTCAATGTGAATTACAAGGACCATGTATCAGCGCAAAGGCATGCAATGCCCATTGTGCATCTCTGCCTCAGGGTTTCACACATGGGGGGATTTGTTTTATAGTTCAGCGTGAAAGTTTGTGTTGCTGCAAGTATGCTGCAGGCTGAACTTCATGGTCGTTCTATATCCAGTTCTCTTGAGTACTACTTTATTAATAATTCAATATATTCAAATATGATAGTTTTACATTATTTAATGAAGCGTTACAATGATCACTTTTAAAAAAATCTAATATACACAAGAAAACCTATAAGATAGCATCAAAATCAATCCGCAAAAGAAAAACATTATAAGATGTACAAAATCGCCATGCATGGAGCAAAATATCAGACTTATCATTAACGATGATTTGTTTGATTTATCATCAAGTAATATCCAATGCATAAAGCTCTAGTGTTGTGGTCTTTCCATCCGTAATTTATTAATATAAATAAACTCTAGTGTTTGTATTTTGTGTCCAACTCCATTTAACGATCAAAGAAACTCTAGTGTTGGCCCTTTAACAAAAAAAAAAGAAAAAAACTATAGTGTTTGTATTATGTGCCCAACTCCATTTAACAGAGATGCAATTCTAAATCTCGAGTTAGTGTCATAGAGATATTGAGAATGCTACCAAACCCTTATAATAGCGTTTGTGAAAATGCTATTAAACCCTTATAATAGCGTTTTCGTTATGCTATTAATACGCATATTTCTTGTAGTGATTATCTCATGCAAACATACAGTTATCACTTTTTATTTTACAGTCTAATAAACATACAAAAAAATTACAAAAGAGCATCAAAATTAATCTGTAAAAAAAAGGTTTTAAAATGTACAGATCGCCATGCATGGAACAAAATATATATCACACCATTTCAAATTTGACACATATCACTTTGTTCTCTAATGCATATAATAATATTCTGAATTCAACTTTGAAAACTATTCGCTTCTTTAAACTTTAGTTCAATCCATATTTCCTAAATTTCCACCATTCGCATTCTTTTTATCACTTCCCCATTCCACTTTGTCTTAGGAATAAACTGCAATGTGTGTACACATAATTCATACGATCATAGTTAATTATTATTTGAGTTCGTAATCGTATATTAAAGTTTATGTTACGAATTAATAATCATTTGAATGCAGCAACGTTCATTTGGTAAGTTCTACAACACAATCTCCTACGTATTATAAGTTAAGTAAACCCTTCGGTTTAAGAAATGGTCCTGTTTTTGGATCTTACGTCCTAAGTGAGGCAATGAACTCTTGTTTGCCCATGTGCTTCATTTCCACTAGTTCTTTCGAATCTATGAATTATAAGTTAAGTATATAAACTAAATGGTATGAGCTAATTAATTAAAATATAACGACGTTATGACTGATGAACACTAAAATGGAATAAATCTTAATATTTGTGATCTTCGATTCCCTTCTTATGTTGCAAGAGTGCAACATCTTAAAATGTACATAATAGAATAGAAAACTATTAAATAAACATGAAACATATGACACTTTCATACACATCAATCCATGATATCTTGACACATATCACTTTGTACTCTAAAATAATAACTTCAACTTTAAAAAGTATTCGTTTCTTTAAACTTGGTTCAATCCCTGTTTCCTAAATTTCCATTATTCGATAACTTCTCCATTCCACTTTGTCTTAGGGATTAACTGCAATTTGTGGACACATATAACTTTTTTTTGGCCAAAGAAATCACCCGCAACCACTAACCACTGTAATCGAATCATTGTTTTCAATTCAGGGTATAGATTCCAATGGTCTGTATTCTATTCTAATTCAGTGACGACTGACTGTACACGTACTGTTTCTTATATGTATCACAACACTCTATTAGGTGCGTAAACATAAATTTAAGTCGTTAATTGCAAAATAAAAAACAAAAGAAAAACCAAAACCCCTCAGTCATTTCAATTATGTGTCTAAGAAAAGAAGAGAGATAATGTTTTACAATAATACATACTTTTTTTTTCCAACTCAATCTTTTATTCATTTTTCAATTGGGACATCATTTTGAGTTTGTTATCGTATATTAAAGTTTATGTTACGAATAACTAATCATTTGAATGCCGCAACGTTCATTTGGTAAGTTCTACAACACAATTAATCTCCTATGTATTATATAAGCTAATGAGTATATAAACCACTCGGTTCAAGAAATGATCCAATTTTTATTTTTTTGGTTTTAATGTTAAGATTCTATTACCAAAAACTAAGCCAACAAGATACAAAAGAAAGAAGAGGAACAACATAGCTAAACACTTACCTACATATTCGTCGTACCTAGCTAGACTGGAACTACTACATATTCGTCGTACCTAGCTAGACTGGAACTATAAGGCAGCAAAGTTATAAATTACATTGTATCCCTATATATATGTTGTTTATAGTTTTAAACATTCTATTGAAAAGAAAAAAAGATAACTTTTTACAATAATTCAATTTTGAGTCGCCTGCTGCTGTTTTCTATCTCACACCTCAGTGTATTTTTTTTGTTTTCGAGAGATACAACTGTTTTTTTTTTTTTTTTTTGAACTCACAACTGAACTTTTAACTGTGTGAAACAGATCATGGAGGAAGAAGCAGCTTTTATGGAATCGGAAGCTTTGAAGAGGATCAAGAGCAGCTGGGTCCTCCGACCAACCCAGCCTCTGAAGACGAGGCCCTGTGGCCTGCGGCGCAAGGCAACGTGGATATTGGTGGGAGTTGTGATTGCCGTGGTTCTCACGGCAAGGCTCGCGACTCTTTCACCACACCAGCACAAGGAGGAGCAGACTCCGACTCCGGATGAGTACCTCGTTCCTCTCCGGAAAGCGCTCACCTTCTTCAACGCGCAGCGATGTAAGTAAATTTTTAAAGTTGATTTTCTGTTTGATGATGGTTCAAATTTTTTTAAACTAAACTTAGATTTTCTGTTTGATGTTTCAGCTGGACACTTGCCCGAGGTGAACGGTGTACCATGGAGGAGCGATTCCGGTCTTCAGGACGGGAGCAGCCACAGTCATCTGGTAGGAGGCTACTACGACGGTGGAGATGCCATCAAAACAAGCTTCACCATGTCTTTTGCGACATTGCTCAGCTGGAGCGTCATTGAGTACAGCTCGAAATACGAATCGGCTGCGGAACTACGTCACGTTCAAGAAGTAATCAGATGGGGAACTGACTACTTCCTTGAGAGTTTTGATAGCAATGCTGATACACTCAACGAAATGGTGTCACAGGTTAAAAGACTTTTACTCCTTCCTTGCTGCACACTTATGCGTTTCTGTGTTGTACTCATTAAACAGACGTTTCCTTTCCTTTTTCACAGATCGGATCTGGAGCAAGTGCAGGGCCTAATGACCGCTACTGTTGGATGCGCCCTGAGGACATTGATTACCCGAGGCCTGTAACTCGATGTTTCACTGACTGCTCGGACCTCGCCGCAGAGATGGCAGCGGCTCTTGCTTCGGCATCTATAGTACTCAAGGATGATAAGGAGTACTCCCAGAAGCTTCTTCGTGGTGCCAAGGCTCTCTACAAGTTTGCGGAGTCTATGAGTTCAACACGCTCTACCTCCGGCGAGTATTGGGATGAACTCATATGGGGTGGCGCGTGGCTCTACTATGCGACTGGTGATTTAGGCATTCTTGATCGGGTAACAAGCCCGGCTCTGGCTGCTCGCGCATCCGCTGCATCGTCTAACGACGGCGTGCTTGGCTGGGACACCAAACTCGCCGGGGCTCAGGTTAGTCGGTGATTTCTTGTGAGACAAGTATGACTTGTGTTTTGGCAAAGTGAATGATGTCTGGATTTTATTATGTGTGTTTCAGCTGCTGTTGACGCGGTTGAGGGTGTTCCTCCGCCCTGGATATCCATACGAAGAAACGTTGAGCGATTTTCATAATCAAATCGGCGTTGTTATGTGCTCCTACTTACCTTATTTCAACAAGTTTAACCGAACCAAAGGTGGTTGAGTTAATTGTCTGCGTTTTTACCTCTGTTCTTGAGAGAGTATTATATCTAACCTTTTTGCTGCTGTGTTATCAGGAGGATTGATTCAGCTGAACCACGGAGATCCACAGGTGCTCCAATATGCTGCGAATGCTGCATTCCTAGCGGTGCTATACGGTGATTATCTAGATGCTGCTGATGTTCCGGGATGGTACTGTGGTCCTTCCTTCTATTCTACTCGTGTCTTGCGCGAGTTTGCCAGATCGCAGGTAATGTATATGCATCGAAGCAAAAACAGAGTCAAATGATCACCAAGCAGAGTAAACTGATCACCAAAACAGAGTTTAATGATCACCTCTCATCTCTCAAAGTCTTGTGTCCCCGCAGGTTGATTACATACTCGGCAAAAACCCTCCGAACATGAGTTATGTTGTGGGTTTTGGGGAGCGGTACCCGAAACATGTGCATCACAGAGGAGCTTCGATTCCAAGCAACCGGAAAGAGAGCTGCGAAGGAGGCTGGAAATGGAAAGAGTCCAGCAACGAAAACCCAAACACCATCCAAGGAGCCATGGTTGCTGGACCAGACGAGGAGGACGGCTTCCAGGACCTGCGTACCAACCCCAACTACACCGAACCGACTCTAGCAGGCAACGCGGGTCTCGTCGCCGCTCTGGTTGCCCTGTCCGGAGAGGCAAAGGTGTTTGACAAAAACACTCTTTTCTCTGCCATACCGCCGCCCTACCCGGAGGCACCGCCGCCACCAGCGCCGTGGACGCCATAAGTTAGATACGAAGAATAAACAGTAGTCCTGTTCGTTTCCTTATCTGGACACAGTGCCTGGATAAGCATTCAGATACCATATTTAGAAGCAGTATCCAAATATTTTTAGTTTGTGTTTTTGATTAATGTATCTAAAAATTACAACTGGATACATTCATGTTTGTTTGTGTATCTATATTTACATCTGGATAATAAAATGATTGACGTATTTTACTATTTGTACGGGGAAAACAACTTTTTAATATTTTTTAAACAAATAAATAATCTTCAAAAATTTAAAGTTTTGGTTGAAAACAGAATTTATAGTTTTTACGAAAAAAGCAGTTTTACGGTTTTCCAGTAATTTTACGATTTTGGTGAGAAAACAAAATTTTATGGTTTTCCCGTGATTTAACAGTTTTGGTGGGAAAAATGAATTTACAGTTTTGGCAGAAAAATAAAATTGCACAGGTTTCTCGTAATTTTACGATTTTGGCAGGAAAATGTAATTTTACAATTTTGACGAGAAAATGAAATTTTACGGATTTCTCCTAATTTTACGATTTTGTCGGAAAAACGGAATTTATGGATTCTCGTGATTTTACAGTTTTGGCAGAAAAATGAAATTTTACGGTTTTGATGGGAAAACATAATTTTACGGTTTTCTCGTGATTTTACAGTTTTGGCAGAAAAACGAAATTTTACGGGTTTCTCGTGATTTTACATTTTTGGCGGGAAAATAAAATTTTACGGGCTTCTCGTGATTTTACGGTTTTGGCGGAAAAATTTAATTTTACAGTTTTGGCGGGAAAATAAAATTTTACGGTTTTCTCGTGATTTTACGGTTTTGACGGAAAAACAGAATTTTATGGATTTCTCGTGATTTTACAGTTTTGATAGGAAAATAAATTTTTACGGTTTTCTCGTGATTTTACAATTTTGGCGGGAAAATAAAATATTATAGTTTTGGCGGGAAAATGAAATTTTACGATTTTGGTGGGAAACGGAATTTTACATTTTTTCGTGATTTTACAGTTTTGGTGGAAAGCATAATTTTACGGTTTTTCCATGATTTATAGTTTTGGCGGAAAAACGTAATTTACAGTTTGATGAAAAAATGAAACTTTATAGTTTTGGCAAAAATGTAATTTATGTGTTTTGGCGAAAAAATGATTTGCAGTTTTGGTGGAAAAATAAAATTTGGGAATTTTCAAAATTTACAGTTTTTATGAAAATTATTATTTAAGATATATTGATATGTAATTGTTTAAATTAGATATGATTATTTTAGACATTTCTAATTTTTGCATCTGAAATATCTGGTTTTTTTGGATGAGTTTAATATTTGTATCCAACTACTGCATCTAGTTCATGTGATTAACTGTTGCAAAACGAACAACATCTTGTATCTGCATCTGGATACAGCAGCCAGACAAGGAAACAAACAGCACCTGTGTCGTTTTAGCTTAGAATTTCAAATTTGAATAAGTGCTCTAGGGAGTCAATGCACGTTTGTTTAAGGCTCTGTTCGTTTTTGTATCCAGATGTTGTATCTGGATGCAAATACTCAAATATTATTCGTTTGAACACTTTTAAACCAGCATCTAGAATGTGCATTTGGATGCAAAATCAAAAATATCTCAAAAATCGGGATATTTGAGATGCTGAAAGAAGTAGAGTCTGGATGGTGCATTTGCATCTCAAAAATCAAAAAACCAAAATATCCTTTAAAATGATAGAAAAAATGCAACAAAATTTATATTTATTATCTTTTTACCAAATTGTAAAATAAAAACAAAAAAATTATTTTTCCGCCAAATCAGTAAAATTGAGTTTTTCCGATAAAATCTCAAAATCGAATTTTTCTGCCAAAACCGTCAAATAAAATTTTTTTGCTAAAACCAAAAAATAACTTTTTCCGTCAACTCGAGTTTTTCCGCCAAACCCGTAAAATCAAGTTTTTCCTACCAAAACTGGAAAATTGAGTTTTTCTGCCAAAACCGAAAAATCGAATTTTTTCGCCAAAACCGGAAAATCGAGTTTTCCGTCAAAACTGTAAAATCAAGATTTTCCGTCAAAACCAGAAAATCGAGTTGCCCGCCAAAACCGAAAAATCGAGTTTTCCGTCAAAACCGTAAAATCATGATTTCCGCCAAAAACTTGAAAATCGAGTTTTTCCTGCCAAAACTGAAAAATCGAGTTTTTCCGCCAAAACCGAAAAATCGAGTTTTCCCGCCAAAACCGGAAAATCGAGTTTTCCGTTAAAACCATAAAATCAAAAATTTCCGCTAAAACTGGACAATCGAGTTTTCCCGTCAAAATCGGAAAATCGAGTTTTTCCTGTCAAAACTGGAAAATCGAGTTTTCTGCCAAAACCGAAAAATCGAGTTTTTCCGTTAAGTCCTGAAAATCAATTTTTTCCACCAAAACCGTAAAATCAAGTTTTCCCGCCAAAACCGAAAAATCAAGTTTTTCCTTCAAAACTGGATTATCAAGTTTTCTGTCAAATCCGGAAATAGAGTTTTCCCGCCAAAACCGTAAAATCAAATTTTCCGTTAAAACCTGAAAATTGAGTTTTTGCACTAAAACCGTGAAATCAAGTTATCCCGTAAAAATCAGAAAATCGAGTTGTCTGGCCAAAAATCATAAAATCAAGTTTTTCCATCAAAACTGGAAAATCGAGTTTTTCCGCCAAAACTGTAAAATCAAGTTTTTCTGCCAAAACCGTAAAATAATGTTTTTTTCGTCAAAACCATAAAATCAAGTTTTCCCGCTAAAATCATGTTTTCGCCAAAATCATGTTTTTATGCCAAATTGTGTTTTTCAGTCAAAACCGCAAAATCAAGTTTTCCCGCTAAAACCGAAAACTGATATTTTTCCGCGAGTATTTCTCGTCAAAACTAGTTTTTGTTAAATTTTATTTTTAGAAAAACTATTAGTTTTATAATTATAAATAAATCATTTTAATTGTAAATAAAATAAATAAATTGAAAATTATACTCTTTTAATCATTTGAGATATTTTGCATTCAGATTTTTTTATAAATACACAAACAAACAATGTTACATCTAAATGTTATATCCAAATATAAAATCTAGTTTTGAAAACGAACAATATCTACCTACTGCATCTGAAAATTGTATCTAGATGCTGAATCTAGATACAACATCTAGATCAAGAAACAAGAAACAACAGTGCCAAGAGTCTGTTTCATTAATTTAATAAATTTATGCGAGAGTTTGGTCACTCGAATGTAGTGCAAAGGAAAAGTATCACCAAGTTTCACTCTTACAAATACATAAAAAGTAACAAGATAAACAAATATATAAAGAAAAGACTCATTCATCAATCTCCTTCCATAATCTTTCAAGAGAAGCCGACGATGAACAACTTTCCGATGTAAAAAATCAACTGTATTAATATTTCTCAGTATATAAAGTGTGGAAGCAAATCTTCATTGCCTATTAGCCTGCCAGATACACACAACATATCCATTAGTATAAATGTGTATAGTCTGTATCTTCAAGAACTTGAACATGATTGAAAGAAGAAACCTTTTTCAGGAATTTTTCATGGATCTTCAAAGCTTCTTTACACGCTTTTTTCGCGTCAAGATTACCTGCGATGTCTCCTAGTATCTGCATGAAAAATTTGAAGCTTAACGAGTCTGGTTTGAGACAAGGAGAGGGAAAACAAAAGAGAGAGACCTGAACAACGTCGTCTAGACCCTTGGCTTCCTTCAAGAGACGTTTGTTCTTTGTCTGAAGAACGCTCGCGACCACGAAAACAGCGAGCGTGTTGCGATGTTGCTCGTTCTGTCCGCTGTTGCTTTTCACGTACTTCCTCTCGAACTTTCCATACCGTTTTAGCAACTTGGGATCCTCTGCTGCGTTGTTTCGGTTCTCTAGCTCCTCGTATGTTGCAAACATGTTTGGATTATACTCCATAGCCCACATCATCTGTACACAAACACCCATTGCATATAATCAGAAACCAACACAAGAAGAAGATTGGAGATGAAAAAAGGCAGTGCTGTTACCTCCCAAAGGTACAATGAGTCGAGGAATGAGAACTCTCTCCTGAAAAGTACCATCAACATCCGAATAGCAAACAGATACTCCCCACCATCGAGATCCTCTGTCACACATAAAACAAAGTGTTAGCTCACCAACGAAGAAGAGGGTGTTTGTAACAGCAAAACTCTCTTACGTACCTAGATGTTGATGGAGCCTAGGATCAACGGTTTTAATGACCTGTGAGAGCACACCCAGCTGAGTCTGGACACCCATTGATGTTGCTGTTGCCCTGAAATTTTCTCTCTGAAAAATTCAACAAAACATTAAAAACCGTGAATACAAACAACGTTCTGGTGATGATAAAACGTTGAGTAAGTCATGTCATAGATTGTCACCAGTCTTCGCATTGCACGCTCGAAGCACCAGAAAGCATCGGCTTCATCGTCAAAGAGGATTATCATTGGGGAACATATATCATTCATTCCTACATGAGCAACAAAGTTGATCGCTTCTTTTTTTTTCTCACAAAATGTTAAATCGTTTAACAGCAAGCAAATACACTAACCCTGAACATAACCGATATCAAGATTCAACCACGTATATATGGCAAGAACATCCCATAGTTTTGACTGATTACCGCCATTCTCATAAAAGGATAGATACCGATCTGTTCTAGCAACGTCGAGGCCTGCAACAACATTACAAGAATATCGTAACACAGTAGCGGTTTCTTGAAAAATATATGTACGTAAGAACGCAATCAGATATGACATACCGATCTGATGCAATGAGAGCATCCATTGGAGCACTCTCTCGTCCGTGACGGTGTTTTTAACGACCCATCCTTGATTTTCTACAGAAGAGTCATCTATTGGTTTCCCATTTTCTAAAACCACTGCCATCGTGACGTACTTTCCGCTACCAACGACAGGAACCATTTGCTTGCATTCTTCTTTCCATGCACCGTACTGCTCCCTTAAAGAGATCAATGCCAATTCAAAGTTTTAGCCTGAGATACACAGAAACTACTTGAGAGTGGAAATGGAGTAGTCACCTTCTCCGATTCCTGAGCTTGTTCCTTTCCTCAAAAGTGCTATCTGGATCGTAACACCCTAACAGAAACTCCCAAACAGCGCCTTTGATGGAGGGATGAATCCCCTGAAAAGTGAACAATTATGAGCAATGGAGACAAGATCATGACAAGAATGTAAGTAGAGAGACTCACTCCACGCTGTATACGTCTGAGCACTTTTTCCATATCCAAGTGCCCATCTTCAGTGAACGCCGCGTGCCATCTTCTCGCACTTAGAGTTTTTCCAGCCTGCAAATTTACACATTATCAAAAGATGGGATCATTGAGAAAACCGTATGGATCGTAATGGTATGAGAAAAAAAACACGAACCCTTGATTTGAATCGGGTCCTTGGAACATCTGCTTGACATTCTGGTCGAACTGGGTAGAAACCTTGCAAGTCTTCTCCTCCGGATTTCCACATCAATCCGCAGCAAATCATTCAACCTTCTTCTCAGATTTTTGTAACGGCGAAGCTCCCCCGCATGGCTCAATCAGTAATTTCTTAAAAATCCGAACATCATCACCAGAAGAACATTACAGAATCAGCATTCCATTTTGAACAAATCCACAAAGAATAAGAACACAAGCGTATACATACATACATAACATACAGGCTCAAGCTATGCAGATTGAGATCCTAAACAGCCGGACTCTCTCTCGACACATGCCCGTCTTCCCTCTTCTTCTTCTTCCGCTTTCCGATTTTTCCTTCCACCATTCTATTTCTAGGACTCTCTGTATGATGAACCGAACCAATCCAAATTTATGAGTCCCCGATTCAGTTTCGATCAAACCGATCGGTCTCGGTTCGGTTAGAAAACGGATTTCCCGCCCAATCCTAAATCTCAAGCGACGCCGTTTGTGGATGCACCTGACATGGAGAGGATCCAGATTACTACCAAGCTGGAGAGAGTTCTCATTCCTCGACGCATTGTACCTTTTAGTACCAAGCATGTGTATTGGAATATTCGTGTAGATGATTTAGATAAGACACATATGTTTATATGATAGGGATATATACTCATATCTTAGATCGATAATTACCTCCTAGATTATAGGATACTATGAGATGTTATCAATAGCATTGAGAAATTCAACAGAGTATTCGATATAATTTGACGATTAAGTACAATTATTTTCTAACAAAATTACTTTTATATTTCAGAACATGAAAAATACAGTTTAACCAATTTTTTTTTTAAAAAAAAAACATAAAATTAGGATCCAATGTAACGTGCATGGAAAACATTTAGCATATAAATATACCACGTATCACAAAACCCTAGAACAAACAAAGAGTATAAGACACGACTCATCTCATAGCATCGTCGATGGTTACCGCCTCCACGGGCACGACGTCGCGTCTAATCCATTCGAACCGCCCTAATGGTGCTTTCCTCCCCCGCCGGTGCGTAAGCCAACCCTTCTTACGGACCACTGCGTCCCGCCGAAGCTGCATTCTCTCCATTCGCTCATCTTGTATAGACTAAACCCTTTTGAGGCACGAAATTCAGTTATCCTCTCTTGATGATGACTAATCTCATGAATTAAGACTTTGCTTTTTCTGTTCAGATGATGCCTCGCGCGCGATGGTCATTGATCACAGTACTGTGGCAGGACAGATTATAGATGAGATCAAAATCGAAGTGTCAAGAATGAAGAAGTCAATCGGTGCGGTGCCTGGATTAGCAGTAATTGTTGTTGGGGACGCGTCCGGATACGATCTGTCTGAAACTTACGAGGTATGTTGTATGTTAGTACGAATGGAACCAATCGTAGTTCGTCTAGCAGAAGATTCCTCAGAAGAGGAGGTGTTGAAACGTGTCTCACGTTTGAACGATGATCCTTGTGTCCATGGAATCCTTGTTCAGCTGCCTCTACCATCGGTACTAATACTCTCTCTACCTTGAACGATGATCCTTGTGTCCATGGGAATCTTGATTTTACATGTTATCAGTACTATACTATTTTGTAGGATTTAGATGTTCCGGACGGCTTTCGAGCCGTCGGAGACATTGGCTATCGAGAGGTTTGCAAAGTTGCATCGGCCATCACACCTATTGATGCGGGTGGCAAAGCATTGATGACGTTAACCATGCTTCTATCCAACGTTTTAACATCAGCCAAGAGATTTCACAACTTCATCTAACCTTTTCTTTCTTTTTTTTTAAAGCTCGAGACTTTTCTTGGTCTCGAGATCTGAGTATTGCAGACTACTTAATACTTATACAGTCAGAGAACCTTTTCTCTCTATAATCAAGTTTGATTCTGACCCAAGTTAGTAAAATACCGGAATGTGCATTACATACGGTGAGGTGACCGGAGCCAATGAGATGTTACTTGGTCAGTCCCTTGAAACCCGAACAACTAAACCAGAAGTAGTAGAAAAAGTTTTGAGGTGACCGGAGCCAATGAGATCTCGAATGTGAAATCTCATATCCAGAGGAGAGTAGCGGAGTCGTTTCCTTTCGAGCTCGGCCAAGAACATCTCTTTATGTCGCTTGCGCTTCAGCAACGAGAGGAGTTCCTTCCTTCCCTGATTAGATTGAGAGAGTGAGATAATAGCTTCATCATCTAAATCAATCACCAATTGATAACGTTTTTACCTGCAACAGACCCTTCCACAGTTTACCAATACTCGGAATGGCGAACCAGTACATGTTTGGATCCATAAGTTGGCGTGTCTGAAACGAAATTGGTATGAACAAGAGTCAAAAAGAGGGTACAAGAAAGACAAGTAGGAGTATATATATACATAACTCTTTACTTACGACAAGGCCTGCGTTAATTAAGAGAGTGATGTGCGAATCCTTCACCTTTCCCGCCAATGACAAGAGCGAACACTGCATTGAATGATTGATATAGCTTGTGAAAAATGAAAACTTATTTGAACAACTTGTAGTAAGCTTTAAAATGATGATCGACTCACTAGCTCATCATGTCCAATGCTGGGTTCAAGTTTCGAATCAAGGACATGCCCTTTGAACCACTCGAATACCTCAACATCACTCTGTTTCTTCTCTTCCATCCTCTTCGCTATTCCATCGACCTAGCACATTGGATTACAAGAGAAGGATTATCGCTTTTTTCAAAAGCCTTTTTGAAATGCAGTAAAAAGCCAAACCTGGTTAAGATAGTCATCCATAAAGATTATCCCATGATCGTCTTGTCCAGTGTTGAGTTTGAATACACGAACAACTTTCTCCCTTCGTAAACACTGCACCAAAAATTGATATTCATTACTCCAAACATGTCTAGCATGCCTTATAGAGATAATTAAAAAAGGTAACTCTTTTCATAGAACCCAAAATAGGAACAATCATTAGGCAAAGTAACCAACAGCAAAAGCAAAGAACCAAAGTGGCTCGGCATTCATATAACCCCAAAGATGGAAACTTTCAATACAAATGTGCAAATGATGCGATTTTGGATTATAATTTCATTCATATATCTACAAAGAGAAACATGTCTTTGAGATTTTTAAGTCTAGCGTAGAAACCAGTACCATACCTCAAGTTCTCTATCCACTTGGGTTCTATCGTTGACGCTACTGTACAATTGAGACTGTAATATGAATGGCGGGACCAAAGCCTGCGATGACAAGGAGAATGTTCACAGCTATTCGAATGTTCAGTCGATATTCAATAACAGATTGGTGGAATTCGAATTCGAACCTGGTCAATGCGAGGAAACTGAGCTCGCATCATCCGAAGCGCCACAGAAGTGTCGCTAAAGGTAAGTTCATCCTCTGATACCAACAGCAAGAACCGATTCATGAGTCAGAGCTACCATATACGTACAATCTCTTGAGTATTATTGGTAAGCAAAATCAAGAGATTCAAATCACCGAGAGGATGAAGAAGGCATTGATCCTCAGATGATATTCCTCCATCTTCATTTTCCGCGTGGCCACAACCAACCTCTTCCTCCTCTTTCTCTCGCCGGCGCTTCTTTGCTCCGGAGGCGGAGGATTCCGGATTTGTGATGATTCTCTTCATGTTTTTCTCCTTCTCGCACAACAAAACGACGAAACTGGGAGCATATTTTCGATTTTTGTCGGTCTTAAACAAGGGCTTGGATAGGCCCATCAAAAAAGGCCCAAGCATGAACCATAATCAAATTGGCCCAAACAAAATGTGGTCAAAGTAAGGAAAGCCGCCGGAGAGTAGGAAAGAATGCGATCGGAGATGGAAAGCGGTCTGATATCGGTGGACCGGTGGAGGAGTGGAAGTCAGGCTTACTTCTTGACTCATATGCACTCCGATCACACTCGTGGCCTCTCCGGCGAGTGGTCCCAGGGTCCTCTCTACTGTTCCCGCACCACGGCCTCTCTGTTTCCCTCCCGATTCCCCGGCTTCGACCTCTCCTTGCTTCGCGTCGTCCCACTCTCTTCCTGGCGATCACTCTCCCTCCGCTCTCCTTCCTCCGGCTCCGCCGTCCGCCTCCACTTCATGGCAATCGACGCCCACCACTGTCCTGGTACGATGAATCATGATTTTGCTGCTTTCTCCGTCGGCGATTGATATAGAATGTGTGGATGAATCTGGTGGTGGTTTGTCAGGGTCCGTGATGTTCATGTTCCGGGGAGATTTCGGATGTTTTCTTTACACGGGGGATTTCCGGTGGGAAAGGGACGATGTAGCAGCAGACGAAGCAAGGACCACTCTCGCCGGTGCTATTTCGGAATTTCCGGTGGACATTCTCTACTTGGACAACACTTATTGCAACCCGATTTACAGTTTTCCTTCCCGTCAAGTCGCTGCACATCTGGTTCGCCGCCTTCTTTCAATATCTTCCTCCGATTTACACTTGTTCTTCATCATCTCTCCTTCTTTTCAGGTTGCTGATATAATCGCCTCTCACCCTCGCCATGACATCATCATAGGAATCGACTCTTTGGGGAAGGAAGAACTGCTTCTTCTCGTTTCCCGCATCCTCAATCTCAAGGTACTTCGTGTTGATATAGTGATCCTCTCCATCCAAATGCCATTCTTGCTGGATACACATCTGATGTGTCTCTTGTTTGTCCTTTTAGATTTGGGTTTGGCCGGAGCGGCTCCGTACCATGCACCTCCTTGGGTTCCAAGACGTGTTCACGACTGACACAACTCGTACAAGGGTGCGTGCTGTCCCTCGCTACAGTTTTAGCATTCAGACGCTCGAGGGGCTGAATCTGGCGTGCCCAACCATCGGCATCATGCCTTCGGGTCTCCCGTGGGTGAAAAGAGATGAGGCCACACTCTCTGCTTCTCTCCTAACTCAGAAAGCATCACAAGCGGCGGCAGTGCATCGGTTCCATGAGTACATGTACTCGGTGCACTACTCTGATCATTCCTGCTACGGGGAGATTGGAGAGTTGATACAGCTCGTGAAGCCAAAGAGCATGAAAGGAATTGTGGTTTCTTCATCATGTTACGTTGACCCTCTCTACTATTTTGGGCGTATCTGCGGAGCTAGCCAACCCCCTGAGTTGCTGCCTTTGAGGCCTGACACCACCACCGAGCAATTTAGAGCTGTTAGGATCAAGTCGTTTTCTGAAAGAAGGTGCAAGAGAGAAGGTCGTCTTTCAAGTCAAAAGATAAACAGCAAGAGAGCACGTATACGAGTCAAGCCCGCAAGAATCTCAGAGCTTGATTAGCTTCACTCTCCTTTGGGTAATGTATAACACGCTTATGTTAATGGTCTAATATGCAAATATCTCAATGGGGGTATATTATAAACTTAGAAGTTGCTGTTTGGCTGCATTTTATCAACCCATTATATCAAAAAGGTTGAAAATACATCAGAAGACTCAACTATTCAGTCTTTAAAGTTTGACAAAGATAGAAGAAAATTGCTCTTAACTCACTAAATGGAGACATTCAAAGACGGTTCAAGTCAACCTTTCATTAAGAGACAACATAGCAATAAAAGAAGATGAAAAAACCAACAGAAGCCAAGCTTTCAGTACTTGACAGGTGCACCCTGGGTCGGTAAGATACCAAACCGCTTCTTATTCAAAACTCTCTGCTTCGAGTATTTATCGTCAGGGGAGAATCGGGCTGCAATAGCACAAAGATTTTTGATTAAAATCTATAAAAGGTCTCTTTCTCCAATCAAAGAATCAAATTATAAGGCTTTCTTTACTGCTAGACACTCACCTGGATGGGCAGATTCAGTGGCTAATCCGAGCGGTGATTCCTTCTGCAAAATGAGTTTGGTTCATGTTTAAGCATAAAGTGACACAACACAGTTCGTAACTAAATGATCACAAGGAATCAAAACCAAGCAAAGAACATGCAAAGTAGTAGATTAAGATGAATGAAACTAACGTTTATATCTGCTAATTTAAGTTTAATCAAGCGAAACCAAGTTTAACCTTTCTTAGAACTAATTACTCTCTTCTAACGGGAGGCTCTATAAAATTACCTCAGAACTATGACTAGTTGTTATAAGACAAGAACAAGATTATATATTCAATGAAACGATATGAGACAAGTCAAGGTACCTTAGTGGTGTAAACCTTCTCGCCCTTCTCGTTGATATAGCACTGGAGATACATCGTCGTTTGCTTTCTGTGCAGAAATTTAACTTTAGAGCAGAAGAAAAATGAAAACAGAGTAGCAAAGCCGATTAAGATTTTTTTCGAAACAAGACCGTACCTCAGAGAAGTTTCCTGATGCTGGGATTTTTTGAGACGAGGATATGACTAGGGTTTTACAGGAGCAGCTGCACTTAAGGCTTTCGTCAATGTATATAAAGTTCTCGAGTTAAGAAGATGGGCTTTAGATGACAAAACTTTTAAGCTCAATATGAGGCCTACTTTGGAAAAGCCCAATTATTGCACGTGATCCAAATTTACGACGATCGCTATCCTTAAAAAGAGTAAAAGGCTCACAACGTGAATCATCCCGTCTTCCTTTTCCGGCGAAAAAGAGAAAACGATGGGGAAATCTACAGAGACTCCGGCGAAAATTGTCAAATCTCAGAAACCTCCTTTCAGACCTGCCGTCGATGACACCAAACCTGTTCTTCAGGACCCCGTAAGGATCTCTCTCTCTCTCTCTCCCTTGTCCTTATAACTGAAGCAATTCTGATTTCGAATTCGGATTCGAACTTGAATAAAAAATTTTGGTTGGATCAAACTGAGTGTTCCATTTATGAAGATGCATCTCCCCTTTTGTCAATCTTTGCTTATGTTTACTCTGGAATGTGAAAGTTAATTGATTCACTGAAGAATGTAATTATCGAGCATTTGTTCATCTAGAAAGCCATAGTACTCGAGGCTCAGTGTAAAATTCAATTTTTGTTTTTTCGAATTTCAAAGCCAAAATGGTTAAAGTGCATTTCATTTGGAGGAGCCATTAACAGCAACACATTCTAGTGACAAAGAGGCTCACTTTCATCTATCTTTAGACTGATTCTGGACTCCAATGGTTCCTTTGGTTTAGTGAATACAGTATTGGATGATTTGATCACCTCTTGTTTTTTTTTTTTACGTAGATTCTGAGATCGGATCCAATGGAGACAGAAGAAGCTGTGCTGAGATTGCCCTCTTTCCCAGTGATGAAACCATCTGAGTCGTAACGAGGTGATTCGGTACTTACTGTGGAGTGACTCTGGGTTTAAATGCTTCTCCTGTAACATTGAATCTTCTTAACATATATGTTTTGTAATGGGTTTGGTTATCGACTGCCGAAACGATGAAAGTTTTTTTTGTTCATTTAAATAAAAGATCCAATCATATTGAAATGTAAAATCAGCCAGAAGATAAATTATTCTGTAACCAAAAATGAATTATTAATTTAGTGCATTGTTAAAAGAAAGAAAGAGAAGAAGTCTGCATGAAAGAATCAGAGAAAATGACGCTGAGAATAAAGGCAGACATTGATCGATCTGAATGCATATTTACATGCTGAATCATATAATTTCATGGGCTCCAGAGAGATTCACGCTCATTCGATTCCTCTTTTCCTCTCTTTCCCCTTTCCCATTGGAGATTTGTTTTCTCTTCCTGCTTTGGTTTGAATCTGTCACGTTGACGCTAAGATTTGATCGTATTCGATTACTTAGAGGTGATTTTTGAAAACCACATGTTTAACGTATTTGGATTCTAGGTGATGTGTGTTTTGATTTTGAAATTCTTTGTTTTTGCAGAAGCATACGTTTAGACGTATGATGAGATTGAGAAGTTGATTTGTGTGGTTGGTGAAGAGAGTATATATGGATTCTGCAAAGGGTTGGTTTCAGAAGCGGCAAATGCGTGGAGGGTCGAGGTATAAAGGTGGCTCAGGTGGTGGAGGTAGTATTGGCTCTGCCGATGAGCAGCCCAACGTGGAAACTGATGAAGAAGCTGTCTCAAACACTACCAAACAGAAAGTTGCAGCAGCTAAACAGTACATTGAAAATCATTACACAGAGCAGATGAAGATTCTGCAAGAGAGGAAAGAAAGGTACCAAAATCTAGACTCTTTTCTTTTGCCATTGCGTGATTATTTAGTTTTGGTTCTTGGTATAAACAGGCGAAGCATGCTAGAGCAGAAGCTGGCAGATGCTGATGTCTCTGAAGAAGATCAAAACAATCTTCTCAAGTTTCTGGAGAAGAAGGAGACAGAGTACATGCGCCTTCAACGCCATAAGCTAGGCGTTGCTGATTTTGATTTGCTTACAATGATTGGGAAAGGTGCATTTGGGGAGGTATGTTTTCTTCATTCCTTCCGCCTGCTGTGAATACAGTTTTCCGGTGGTTTTTGAACGATATGTTGTTGTTGCTTTTGTAGGTCAGAGTTTGTAGAGAAAAGACGACAGGTCAAGTTTATGCAATGAAAAAGCTCAAGAAGGCGGAGATGCTTCGCAGAGGCCAGGTGAGACTTCCCTATCTGATGCTACTATTCGATGTGGTCTTGTTTGTGAACCAATCGTCCTTCTTTGACTTCATATATATAACTCTATTTTTTTTCTTTTAAGGTTGAGCATGTGAGAGCAGAGAGGAACTTACTTGCGGAAGTGGACAGTAACTACATAGTGAAGCTTTACTGTTCGTTTCAAGATGATGACCATCTTTACCTTGTGATGGAGTATTTGCCTGGTGGGGATATGATGACTCTCCTGATGCGCAAAGATACTTTAACAGATGATGAGGCCAAGTTCTATGTCGCTGAGACAGTTCTCGCTATCGAGTCCATCCACAGGCACAATTACATCCACAGGTTCTTTCAGAGTAATATAAATATAGAAAAAAACATTCATTTTCTCTTCCATCTTGGATGAGCTTATCTTCTTTCTTTTGCTTCCCGCAGGGATATCAAGCCGGACAACTTGCTGCTTGACAGATATGGGCATCTGAGACTGTCGGATTTTGGATTGTGTAAACCTTTGGACTGCAGTGCCATTGGAGAAAACGAGCTCTCAAACAATTCGAATGGATCCACACAGCAAGAGCCTGGATCAGGCGCTCCAAAACGAACACAGCAGGAACAACTTGAACATTGGCAGAGGAACAGGAGAACGCTTGTAAGGCTTCAAATTCACCTTTTGAGATTTTGACTTTAACTATTGCTGCTTGGTCTCTCTGTATGTGTTTGATCAACACTTGAAACGACAGGCTTATTCCACAGTTGGCACACCGGATTACATAGCTCCAGAAGTTCTATTGAAGAAAGGCTATGGAATGGAGTGTGACTGGTAAGCATTTGAGGCTCTCTTTTTTGTGAGTGCATTATCACAGAATTCGAGGTTACATGCTCCATCAGATTCGAGTATACATATTGATGGGACTCTTATGCTTGCACTTTCCATAGGACTCTAATGCAGTGTGCTCAAATAAATGCTATGTAGGTGGTCTCTCGGAGCTATCATGTATGAAATGCTAGTAGGATATCCGCCGTTTTACTCAGATGATCCTATGTCAACCTGTAGAAAGGTAATATATGCTCACAATCTATACAAAACTGACAAGACGTGGGAATTTTAGCTTCCACTTACACTGACATCAAACTCTTGCTCCCGATTTCGGTTGCAGATAGTAAACTGGAAAAGTCATTTGAAGTTTCCGGAGGAAGCAATATTGTCGCGGGAAGCAAAAGATCTTATCAACAGCCTCTTGTGCAGTGTCAGACGTAGGCTTGGTTCCAAAGGTGCTGATGAAATAAAGGTGTTGTATGGTGTGTCCTTGTACTGAAGAGTTTTTTTTATAAACGTAGCTTGAGTATGGGGATATAAGAGTTCAATCTAATATAATACAAAATCGGTGAGATTAAATGCATGAGTTTGTTCTTCATTTGCAGGCTCATCCATGGTTTGAAACGGTTGATTGGGATACAATATTTGATATGGATGCAGCTTTTGTTCCAGAGGTGAATGACGATTTAGACACTCAGAATTTTGAGAAGTTTGACGAGGTAACAAATCTGGAAGCATTACATCTTTGGTTACTCACTGATTTGTCTTTGATCATTAATCTTTGTTTTGTTTGGGGATCGATGCAGTCCGAATCTCAGACTCAGACATCATCCAAGTCCGGCCCATGGAGGAAGGTAAAGCCATATCCTATCTTTGAACACAAAAGATGTGTACATTCCTTTATGTTTGACTAATACCGCTTTTAATTACTTACTTTTGCAGATGTTGTCGTCAAAGGACATAAACTTTGTAGGGTACACTTACAAGAACTTCGAAATCGTTAATGATTACCAAGTTCCTGGAATGGGTACATACACTGCTTTGATCACTGGTTTCTTGTCTTTGATTTTCATTTAGTTTGAATGTTACTGAAGCATGCTTTAATTGCCGTTTGTAGCGGAGTTAAAGAAGAAGAACAAGTTGAAGCGACCAATGGTCAAATCACTCTTCGGTACACACCTTTCTTCTTTCTTTTCTTTGTTTGCCTTATTCTCATGTGAAGATCAAATCTTTGGATCATGTTTACTAATTTGGTGTATTTAAAACGTTCCACAGACAGTGGATCATCAGAGACATCGGATTCGTCGGAAACAACAACGAGATCGGCCTGTGATCGGCCACCTCCTACTCCTCCGATGGTTCAGGGAAGCTTTCTGAAACTTCTGCCACCAGAACTTGAAGTGAGGCCAAAGCAGGAAGGATCCGAAGCTTGCTAAAACCAGCAAATCAAATATAATGGTTGAGTTTGTCTTGTTTGGAGTTGAGTTGTTGTGTTTTTTTTAGTCGCTAGCAAAAATTACGAACCGACCACTCCTCTCCTATCTTCAAGACAAAACAAGTCTCATTCTTATTGACGTGCAAGATACATTTTTGTTTTGTTTCATTTTGCATGATTGTAGTTTTTCTTTCAAAAATCAAGTTGGAGTATAAATAAAACTATGGATGCTTACATTTTGTATACATAATTGAAATTTTTTTCCTCATTTCTAAATATGGTTCGATATGAATAAACACTACATTTCTATTAGGATAATTCTTATTAAAGAATCTAAAATTCCTATATATCGAGTTAAAGAGCAGTTTTATCAGCTTAACTCAAATGTTACATACTTACATCAAATGATTTACGTATTAGGATAATTAATTTCTTTCCCAGCAAAGAAATGCGTTTCTTCTTGAACAAGCAACCTCTCTTTAGACGGATTCGAGACACTGGATGAATCTTGGGTTTTTCTTTTTTCTATTGAAAACCTTAATTATTTCTTATTTTCTTTTAACAAAACAGTATTATTAGCCTTCTAAGGACATAAAAACAAAAGAGCTGACATATTTTTATAAAAAAAAAAGAGATGAAATATTTGTCAAAACTATTTTCCCGCAAACATGGGATCTCACTTCTTTCCGAGAGATGAAGAAAACTATAAAAACGAAAAAGAGTTTTTGAGTAAATAAATGGTACATTGCAGAGCGGGAGAGAAGAAAAAGGCTTAGCTTTTGAGGTTGAGAGATAAAGATTCAAATGAGAGCTTTAACACCACTTTTCATCATATCTGTGAGCCTCCAAATGGGATGAGTAGCTTCTTCCCCTAACTCTGCTGCATCCACTTGTTGCATTGCCCAAAAGTAGTGCACCGTCATTATCGTGTCCTAAATCCAACAACAACAACCACAGATTCTTAGAGGACTGTGGATATTGTAATATGTTTTGGGTTTGATTCATGATTCTAGTTTTCTTACCTGGCTTCCTTCTTTGATTTTGCCATCCTTGTCGCGAACACAGTAGATTTGTTGCGTTTGGAACTGACATCAAATATGGTAAAATCAATCAAATCCAAATCTTAGCTAAAGGATCACCTCATAATGAAAAAACGGCAGATCATTTACCCTGACGATGATTGTTGGGGTACTTCCCACCATCTTTGTATCTTCAACTAGGACTTCCGATGTATGCAGAAGCTGAACATCACCACGGCCACAACAATTTACTCAGCACAGAAAAAAATATGAAGCCATTGAACCAGGATCCCCATGATGAACCAAGAACAAACAAAAACCTTACCTTGTGATCGAAAAAATAACCATGGCTTTGGAAAGCTTTGCACTCTGCCGTGCACCGTTCGATCACGCTCTCGCTGCAATACTTCCTCAAGGTCTCAGCATCTCCCTGGCTCGCACAATAAAAACTAAATTAGCTAGAGGCAACAAAATCGAAGAGATGATTTTATTTTCAAAAACCCGAGCTTCACCTTACTATATGCATCCAAGACTGGTTTAATGGCTTCCTGAACCTCTGCAGCAAAGTCTGGCAATGAGAACGATCTGACCATGGAAAGAGATAAGAATATGATCACCGGGGGCACAGCTTCAAACCAACCAATCAGGCTCGAAAACTTACGGATCTCGGCGGCGTATCTCTTTGTAAGTGGATGCAGATGCTGTTTCTTCAAAGAGTGTCTCATTCATGCTGCCGAACATTTATGTAAGTTGGTGTAGGTAAGTTAATTTTCAAGGAAAGATAATAAGGCAGCCATTAGAGCATACTCTTGAATTTTGTGAACAATCGGGTTGTCACTGGTCTCCCATTTTTCCATCACATCTTCTGCAATCTACGCGGTCCAAATGCATTGCCAATTCACAAGTACAAATCAATTTATTGCAAGATAAGGCCTTTGAACGAAATGAGTAAAGATAAAATTGTGCATTACCTCTTGACTCTTGTTGACAACAGGCTCACTCATCCCGCTTAGACGTTTAAATGCAGGATACGCTTGTATCTAAACCAAATTTAAAGAAAAGCCTCAGCAAGAGCCTTAAAAAACATGGCATAAGCGGACAAGGCAAAGAGGGGGAACTTACCTTTTCTCTAAGAGATTCCCATTTTTTTTGCCACTTGGACTGTTTTGTTGGCGTAAGCACCATATCGGTTCTAGTACTTTTCACACCTGTGAACGGCGGGGGAGGCGTGTACTCCAGGTGCTTCTTTTTAGACGAGGTTCCTCGCAATTCATCCTTGACAATGTCAAGTCCTTTCTTCGCTAAGTCAAGGGGCGAAGGAATGCTTGACTTGAGTTTGCTAAATAATGTTTGTTGTTCCTCAGTAGAGCCTGATTGCTGCTGCTGGTTTTCTCCTTGAGAGGTTCCTGTACCTGATGAGCTCGCTGACTCTGCATTTTCCTCCTTACCGAGCTTGAATGACTCCTTGACCTGACCACAAATATGCATAACCGAATTTAATCCCCCAAAAAAATGCCACAGTTGACCACTGAAAGGACTAAACACAACGGGATTCCAGCAAAACCTCTTCTGTGGCTGCTGAGAACTTGTCTTTCACACTTGAAGAGACCTGCACCGCCAAAGCTGTTTGGTAAGAAACCTATTCCATAGCCTTTAACAATGAACAAAGTCGGGTCCTCATGCATGTAAATAGCGAGTTACAGTTCACTAGAATGGATTCCACAAGTAGAGTATGAAGTTACCAAACTACAAGCGGTACTTCATACATACAGGTACAGACAATGATGCAAAAGAAAAACACATTCTTAACATAGACAAACCAAAGATGCAAATAGAAGAGACGATACATTTTATTTAAATTTAATTTATCGAAACTGCCTTTCAAAACACAAACATGGTGCCAGTTCGAGGCTCTTGTAATAGAAGACAATACCTTTTTGGCCACAGATTCAGCCTCAGTCCAGACCCCATCAACTTGCCTGTATAGCTGCTCAGTCTTTTCTTTTGTTCTGCATTTTCCATATCATCCATAAGCTTCCTTTGAAACAAAATATATGTCGCTAAGTAAGTGCAAATTGCCAAAGTAAATTACCTAATTTTCAGGTCCTCTTTTACACCTTTAAACTCATCTGCCTTTTCCTTGAGCTCCTTCACGGTTCGTTGAAATTCAGGATTGCTGCAACAATCGAAAATGTAAACAAAATCTAAACTAAGAACATCATCCGCGAAGAGAAAAATTACAGAAGTCTGCATCGAAAGAGATTACCTTTCAGCTTCCCCTCTAATTTTCTTCGACAAGTCGCTGAAAACGCTGAACCGGCGATTAATCGCATACCCATTCGCCGGCAGAAATCCTAGCCTAGCGCCGGCTCTCTGAACCAAACACGAGACAACCAAATCAATAAGCTCGTGAACACGGACACTAGAAACAAATCAGCACAAGGGATAATCGCACGAACCCGTTGGTGCGTCAATTGCAGGAAAAGAGGCTGCTTTGTGATCAGTAAATCTCGAATCAGCTTTCTACTCGCCATTGGAGCAATCCCTCGGAGTGATTATACGGTAAAAAATGGAAGAAACAGTCCGGCAACAAACCCTACAGGCGGCCCTGGATTAGCCGCTGCGAGAATGATTCACAGAGATTGGTTTAGAATAGGAGCAAGAGACAACAACATAGAGTATCTCTCGCTATTGCTTGGAGAAAAGGAAATTTGGAAAAAAAATTCCGTGAGAAACAAACCAGAAGAAAGGATGAGATTTCGAGTGTTGCCTTAAACAGTTAAAGCCCTAGAGACACACGCATTCGGTAAAACCTCCCGTCCTGGGGTTTCTCTTTCGGGCCGACGATACCATTACTCGGTAACACGATTTAACTATATTCCATATATGGATAACAATAGAAATTGAGTCGAAGAGAGGATATTGAAACATTCGTTTCCAAACAAAACATATCTCGCTCGTCTCTTTCTGGGCCGCTAACCTCTTATGAATTTAAAAGTCCATCAACTTCTGTAAAACCTTTGGCCCATAACGTAATCATAAATTAAGATTAATCTCGGTTTTGTGGTTTCGGTTGATTTGATACGGTTCGTTAAGCTCGGTTATGTACGCCAAAAGTAGTTTTGTTTTGGTTCTGTTCGGTAAAAATCCGATTTAATTAGTGTGGTTTAATTCGATTTAATTAACGCCTAACCATTTCCGACACCATGAGAGAAAGAGACAAAGAGCTCTGTGTTCTTTTTTGCAGTCAGAATCAAACTTGGCTACACGACAAAGAGCTTAAATTCAAGCTAAAGAAGGCAAAGTAACAATCTGTCTTTCACTGAATGTCGGTGTCAGTCACAAGCCACGTTAGCGGCGGAGAACTTTTGGGCTTGCCGGCGAGCAGCCGGCTCAGAAATCATGGCCTGAATGAGCATCGTCTTCACCTCCCAAGGCGCGTATGAGAAACTTCTCCTGGCGTAAGAGTTGAGCAGAGCTGCGATCCCCTGCTTCAGCAACGCACCGTACGCGTTCCCTTCCTCGTCATTCCTAGCCGTCGATTCCGCCAGCGTCAGATCAGATCTCCAGCGCTCTTTCGCCACCATCACTCCGAACATTTTCTCCACCGTCGATCTCTCCGGCACCATCCTCGGCCATGCCTCCCTCCTGCTGCTCCAATACCTGCAAACGTTGTACAAGAGAGTCAGATCTGAGAAATCCCGAGGAGTCGCTTTTATTAGAGAAAGTCGTTGATTACTGAGGCGTGCATCGTCCTCTGTGTCGGGTGTAATAGAAACCAGGTCTTCTCGCCGATGAATCGCCGGCTAAGAAGCAAAGGAGGAAGAAGGCGATCAGAACGAGTCGACTCGGCGAGCAATGTGAGTCCATGAATACAACTGTAGAACTAAAACAGCATCTAATCACTCGTGTTGGGTCTTGTGTCTTAGATAGACACTGTCAAGAATCTGAGTTTGCGTGAGAGTTGAGAAGATCGGTCTGCTTTTTCTCTATTCCTGCCTCGGAAACAGAGACTGACTTTGACAATTTTACCCTTAAAATTCAAATTCACAAGACATCCGTTAACGAGGAGAATCGTCAACACATTCTCATCATCACATGGGTATAACCGTCATTTGGAGTTGTGCACTGCACATGATGTATCTAAAATATCTCAAATTGCTGCTTTGGCCATTTGCATGTCGTCAGGTCTTCACGTGACTAGCTAAGCTACATGCCCTCCCTAGGAAATGGATCCGAATAAATATTCTATGTAAAACCGAAATTCACCAAAACAAAACTATCATTTTCATATTGTAATAACTAATAAGTAATAGTATCTTAATGTTTTAGTACAAAACTGTACAATGCTTATATCGGTATTAACATTTTTTTAGATGTCAAAACTGAAGAATATCTAATGAGCCATGGCCCATGGAAAGTTTTCATACAATCATAAGTTGAAACCTTAATTCACCACCATCAGGTCCATCACCTACCATATTCACCACTGTCACCATTTTTTGGTACCAAAATAGTGAATTGATTAATGGGCTTGAATTTGTACAAAACAAAGTTTAACTTTGGGCCCAAAAATCTCAAGTAACAGAAAATACGCGAGTGACCAAATGTTGAACCGAATGGCCGAGCCTAAACCCTAACCCCTCTCTCCTCTCCACGCCATTCTCAGACTCCCTCTGACCATTTTTCCCGAATTCTTCGCTTCTCTGTCGTTTCGTACTCCCAGTTTCAAATTCGTTGGCGGGTTGGTTGCTCCAATTTCTGATTAAGTATCTGTTTCTTCTCAGCTTAGTTTCCGGATTTGAATCCAGATTTTGATTGTTTGACATTTCAGGAGTGGAAGATGAACTTCAAGAACGCCAAAGTTCCCAAAGGTCCCGGTGGTGGTGTGATATCTGCGGTGCTTGTTGGTGGGCTCGCCCTTTACGGCGCCACTCACACTTTGTACAATGTCGAAGGAGGGCATCGAGCCATTGTCTTCAACCGCCTTGTTGGTATCAAAGACAAGGTTAGTAGTCTCTGTAGAAAGCTGCTTACTTTTTCATGTGTGTGATCTCTTAGTTTCCTCGTTCTTTAATGTGAAATCTTGATACTCCACTCATCTTAATTGAGCATAAACATATAAGTCTTGTGATGAATGAGAGCATATATATTGTGCTTCTGCAGGTTTACCCTGAAGGTACCCACTTTATGATCCCGTGGTTCGAAAGGCCAATCATTTATGATGTTCGTGCTCGACCTTATCTCGTTGAGAGTACATCCGGGAGCCGTGATCTGCAGATGGTACTCTACTTCATTTCGTCCCTCTATTCACTATAATTGTTTTTTTTTTTTTTGGGTCTTATCATAATTCATAAGCATATTGCTGTGTGGGGTTGAAACACTGTCATATGATTCAGGTTAAGATTGGACTTCGGGTTCTCACTCGTCCCATGGCTGACCAATTGCCAGAGGTGTACCGTACCCTTGGCGAGAAGTACAGCGAGAGAGTTTTGCCTTCTATCATCCACGAGACCTTGAAAGCTGTGGTTGCTCAGTACAACGCAAGCCAGCTTATTACTCAGAGAGAGGTTAACACTAACTGACTGTTACTCCATTGCTCAGTACAATGGCCAAGTTATATTTATTATGTGCCCTTTAACGGTTGTTGTTTTCTTCTTATGGTAAGGCGGTGAGTAGGGAAATCAGGAAAATCTTAACCATGCGGGCTGCTAACTTCAACATTGCGCTTGACGACGTCTCCATCACGGGCTTGACGTTTGGAAGGGAGTTCACGGCAGCCATAGAAGCAAAGCAGGTGGCAGCTCAAGAGGCCGAGCGTGCAAAGTTCATCGTTGAAAAGGCTGAACAGGACAAGAGAAGTGCTGTTATTCGCGCTGAGGTGTGTAGAATGTTTTTTTTTATCTCTTTTTCAGTCTCATTTGGTAAATCTTGCTAAGCAATGTTTCTTCTTGTGGCGGTTTGTGTAGGGAGAAGCTAAGAGTGCTCAGCTCATAGGCCAAGCGATCGCAAACAACCAAGCCTTCTTAACGCTGAGGAAGATTGAAGCCGCTAGAGAGATTGCACAGACCATCTCAAAGTCTGCCAATAAGGTCTACTTGAGCTCCGACGATCTGCTGCTTAACCTACAGGCCATGGACCTTGATTTGAAGGCGAAGAAGTAGAAGACGATATGTGATCAAACGTTACCAGACCAAAAGCTGTGATTTCGATTTTTCAAAGTAAACAGTTCTTGTGAATTTCAAAGACAGCAACGTTTTGCAGTGTCTTCTTCTCTTTTTAGACAAAAAGATTGTACTATTACAACTTCTTAATAACAATGGAAATGAAATAATAATGTTGTAGTTTGTGAAAATGGGCTTTTTTGTTGTCTACGTACAGTATGTTTTTTTAAGTTTAACACAACCGAGCGCCATTGATTCAAACCACCAAGAAACCTCCTCCTCCTCTGCTTCCAAAGGTAGCAGCTTTAATGGCTTTTCATGGAATTAGACAAGTGGAGAATCACTTTGTGCCTTTTCTACAGCGATTCAAAAGCAGAGGAGAATGGAAGAGAATCCACGCCTCCATCATCATACATGGGCTGTCACAAAGCAGCTTTATAGTCACCAAAATGGTGGATGTGTGCGATAAGATTGGAGATATGGAGTATGCGAGTCGTCTTTTCGATCAAGTCTCGAACCCTAATGTCTTCTTGTACAACTCCGTCATCCGAGCTTATACCCACAATTCCTTGCATCGCGATGCGATCCGTATCTACATGCAGCTGCTGAGGAAGAGCCTTGAGCTTCCGGATCGGTTCACTTTCCCGTTTATGTTCAAATCATGTGCAAGCCTTGGATCATGTTACTTGGGGAAGCAAGTTCACGGGCATCTCTGCAAATTTGGGCCTAGGTTCCATCTCGTGACGGAGAACGCGATGATCGATATGTACATGAAGTTCGATGATCTTGCTGTTGCGCATAGAGTGTTTGACGAAATGTCTGAGAGAGATGTCATCTCGTGGAATAGTCTGCTTTCTGGATACGCACGGCTTGGGCAGATGAAGAAAGCCAAAGCCTTGTTCCATACAATGCCAGAGAAAACAATTGTTTCTTGGACTGGAATGATCTCTGGTTACACTGGGATCGGGTGTTACGGCGAGGCCATGGAGCTCTTCCGTGAGTTGCAGCTAGCTGGTGTAGAGCCTGATGAGATCAGTCTCATATCTGTTTTACCCTCGTGTGCTCATCTCGGGTCTCTAGAGCTCGGGAAATGGATCCATATGTATGCAGAGAGGAAGGGGTTTCTGAGACAAACTGGTGTTTGCAATGCGCTTATTGAGATGTATTCGAAATGCGGTATGATTAGTCAAGCTATCCAACTGTTCAGCCAAATGAACGGGAGAGATGTAATATCGTGGAGCACGATGATCTCAGGGTACGCGCATCACGGGAACGCTCGCGGAGCAATCGAAACGTTCGATGAAATGCAGAGAGCGAAGGTGAAGCCTAACGGGATCACGTTCCTTGGTCTTTTATCAGCTTGCTCACACGTTGGCTTGTGGCAGGAAGGGCTGAAGTATTTTGATATGATGAGAGAGGATTATCAAATAGAACCAAAGATCGAACACTATGGTTGTCTGATCGATGTTCTGGCAAGAGCAGGGAAACTGGAAAGAGCTGTTGAGATAACAAAGACAATGCCGATGAAACCTGACTCGAAGATTTGGGGGTCGTTGCTGAGCTCCTGCAGAACACGAGGCAATCTTGATGTTGCTCTGCTTGCAATGGATCATCTTGTTGAGTTAGAGCCAGAGGATATGGGGAATTATGTTCTGCTTTCCAATATTTATGCAGATTTGGGGAAATGGGAAGATGTTTCCAGACTGAGGAAGCTGATAAGGAACGGGAATATGAAGAGAACGCCAGGTTGTAGCTTGATAGAGGTGAACAATGTTGTGCAAGAGTTTGTTGCAGGAGATGATAGTAAACCCTTTTGGACTGAGATCTCTTTAGTGTTGCGAATGTTATCCGCACATGACGAGGATCAGAATGTGATTGAAATCAACAGTACTCTTGCATCCATATGTAGGGTTTAAAAGTGGTACGCGTTTATTAGAAGTATTCAATCTTACAATATGTTACAAATCGACAAAAAAGGACACAACAGTATTGAATCACAACCTTCTCTGATCTACAACAAGATAGAAGCTTTAATCTTCCCATCTTCATTTCCTCTTCTGCACCACACTGTTTTGTCCGGGAATGTACAGTACAGCTCACTTTTATCCGAGAAGCTTCTTGACTCCTGTCTTCTGCTCTGCGGTTAATCTTGTGGGGAACTTGATGTTGAACTTGATCCTCAAGTTTCCTCTCTTGGTCTGATCTTTCTGTAACGGCATCCCTTCTTTTGGAACCACTTCCTCGTACTCAGGGTGTATCACGCTATTGACCGGGATTGTCAGTCTCCGACCATCAAGTGTTGTGAGGTTCACGGTGTATCCGGTCAGGGCCTCAACGAGTGAGATCTTCTGTGTGACAATCAGGTCGTTGCCTTCACGAGAGAAAACAGGGTGAGGCTTCTCGTCGATGATGAAGACCAAATCCGCCGGAGTCACACCGGGTTGCTCGTTCCCTTTCTCCGGGAATGTGATTTTAGTGCCTTTCTTCCACCCTGGCTTCACATCAATGGTTAGAATCTCTTCCACCTGCATCGTCTTTCCGCTGACATCAGCAATCTCCCTGGAGATCCTCATCTTCTTGGTGGTTCCTTTGTAAAGGTCTTCAAGGCTGCAGGGCAACTTGTTCTCGATAGGAGCCGCCTTCCTGACTCCGCCGTGATGCATTGAGCCGCCGCCACCACCACCGGCTCCTCCTTCGCCGAAAGAGGCAAATATATTATCATCACCAAACATGCTGCTAGAGAACCTTGCACCCCTGCCTCCACCAGCGCCACCAAATGGGCTAGAGAAGCCGAAGAACTCAGCAAATATGTCGTCTGCATTTCTAGGGTTGAAGCGGAAGGACGTTGGACCGTCTCCGGTGGAGAAGTAAGTGGCTCCACCAGCACCGCCTGGAGGGGGCACGTTCCCTTTCAGACCTTCCTCGCCATACTGGTCGTATACCGCTTTCTTCTGAGGATCGCTTAGAACCTATAACCATGGAGAAGAATCAGTCATTAACAGGATCACACAATCGAAACAATAGAGCCCAAGGAGACAACAACAACTACTCCTAACATCAATCCACAACCTTGAAGAAGATCAATCTCAGGCAAGAACTCAATCGCAGGTATGAGATATGTATGTTACCTCGTAAGCTTCGGAGATCTGCTTGAACTTGGCCTCAGCGTCTTTTTTGTTATTGGGGTTTTTGTCAGGATGCCATTTCATGGCGAGTTTTCTGTAAGCTTTCTTGAGATCGTCGTCGCTGGCGCTGCGATCGACTTGTAGGACCTTGTAGTAATCAACTCCCATCCGAACTTCTTCTTCCTCTTCTTCTTCTCTCTTTCGCTTCTTCACTTTTCCTGATTCCGATCACTATGTCTCTCACAGAGGAGCTTCTTCTTCTTCTTCAACAAGGCTCTGCTCTGTTTCTAGTGAATTTCTCTGCTATTTCTGGTATCTTTAGAGTAAATTAGTTGGTCTTAATAAACCGACCTCATGTTTCTTCTCAAAGAGTGGAGAATTCCGTGGAATGTTCCAGAAACCGTTCCCTCCTAAATCAATCTGGTTGTTTCTTTTCTTTCGGTGACGGGCCTGTCACGCTTGTTTCCATCACAGCACTTTTATCTTCTTAACGCGCACAAATTATGATGGCTTTATGGCTGTAATTGGGGTAACGTAAATCGATAAAGCCCAATTATTAATTGGGCTCCAAGTGGGATTTCTGAATTTCTTATAAATAAATTTCGTGATCATTATTATTTTATTAATACAGTAATTGAATTTGTGAACGAATCGGCTGCCTTTAATAAAAAAAGAAGCCAAACCGGCATTTGAAACTTTTAATTTATTTATTACAGAAGAAAATTTACATAACCACGATGGAATCAAACGAATAATGTGGAATGATGATTAGTAAATTAAAAAAAAAATTGAAAAATAAATAAGAAAGTGTTAGCAAGGAATGGAGTGGGTAAACCAACGGAGGACTTTGACCGGAAGTTTGATGAGACCCACGGCGAAGTTGGCCAGCGCAGCGAAACAGAAGCAACATGGGCACAAACAACTCAATATCGTCCTGCAGTTTTGTGAATAAATCTAATTATTACTACTTGGTATATAACAAAACTCAGCCATACGTATAGTAGATCTGGGGCTTAGGATGAAGAACATAGACGAAACAGGCAGAGAATTGGATCGCGAATGATTACAAATATATACATATACACAAAACATAAACAGAGGACGTCACGTACCCTATGATCCAGATGACAGCACCAACGAGAGAGAGAAGGATGGCAACAAGTGCAAATGGTAATCCCAACAAGAAACCAAGAGGCCTACACTCTCCCATTCTTCAAGAGTTTTGCAGAAAATGTTGAAAAAAGATAAACAAAAATATTTTCCGGAGAAGATGCTTTATAGAAACAGTGTGAGGATTTTTTTGATTTGTTCCACGAGAATGGTTGAATTTTTGTATAACCGCCGTAACCACGCGGCGGAATTTTCTCAATTACTATAACACCCTTGCGGTTTCTTTTTTTTTATATATATTTGAGCAACCGAATCGAAGGGTGTTTTAGGAATTCGACATTTGTTTTAGAATTTCAGACTTTTGAGTTGTCTTGGAAGCTTCTCCGTTCCCCGCGAAAAGAAGAGTCAACGATATGCCTTTGTGGAAGTATTCTACCATATCTGGTCAACCTTGAAAATGCTTGTGGCTGAATATGTATCTTTTTTCTTATTAAGGCTCCAACTCATTATCAAATTTAGTAATATATTGAATGAAATGACTTTTCAAAAATGGAGTATAAATAAATGGAACAATGGTAGTTAAGGAAATAAAATAAAATGAATAAATATCTGTAGAGAAATATTGATGTAAGTAACTATTTAAAAAAAATACAGCAAAATGAAAATAAAAATACTTTCTCAAATGGGTCGTTATTTTCATGAAAAAAAAATTAATTCAATTGGGCTTAATAGGGCCTTAAATATCCCATCCATCCTTTGGGCCTAAGAGGGCCTTAAATGGGTTGATAGTAGCGGTTATGATCCTTTGGGCTATCTTATGCTGTGAGGCCTATTATTTGTGGTCCAAGATTTCTTAATTACAACTTGTGTCCTGTCTGCAGTGCATCCCATTAGACAGAATGTCGTTTTTAAGTGTATGAAACCGTAAGCATTTTGAATGTTGGAGTGTCAACGTATATCATAATCTCGATCGGACCAATACCGTTAAGAAATCAAATGAAGAGATGTTTTTAGGGGAAAAAAAAAAGTAAACAAAATGAATTGAAACTGTACCTTTCAGTTCATGGTCCCAACTAGTTGAAACACAAAGACAAAAGTATGCTCGCCACAAGCTCAACCACAACAAAATAGATTTTTCAAATGTTACCCAAAAGAAAAAACCAGTTGAAATACAAATATATTAGTTTCATTATTGGATATAACAGTGACAAAAAAAAAATCATGGAGCTATACAAAGAATCAATTAAAGTTTACTCACGCGGTTGCATTAGTTTGTCTCTTGCCACCGCAAAAACAATTGGAGAACATAACCAATTAATTTTTTTTACAAGGTGTTAAGTTACATAGATTTCTAACTCAAAATCAATTGGCAATAAGTGGATTGGTCTAAGTTTTATATATATTAGTGTTGATCTCTTGGGATTCCAACACGCCCCCTCGAGATGATGGCTCTTATCAGCTCGAGTCGAATTGAATTCTACTTTAGGATCAGTAATAAACTATTTTTTTGGGCCACCCTACTTGGATCAACAAACAAGATTCTGATACCATATTAAGTTAAATGGACTTTCAACTCAAAATTAGTTGACAATATTCAACTCAAAATCAATTGACAATGAATGGATTGGTCCAAGTTTTATATATATTAGTGTTGATCTCTTTAAACTTCCAATGTGGGATTTCAGCACAAGATAATTTAAGTTTTCAATTTACGATGACTACATAATGACACAAACGAATCTAAACCTAATCCATAATTGCTAGCTTTCTTTGAGTGGTCTTGCTTTGCCATTTGCGAGTGAGTTAACCGGGAGAATCGTTTAAGTACAAATACATATGATATGCAATTTACAGCGACAAAGATGATGATTGATGTCATAATAAATGACAGTAGAGGCCAGTCCTTTTACGAAAGTTGCACTTCATTTTTTTTATATAATTAATAACAAGCACACATGATATCATTTCCGTTGTTGTCTTTATCAGGTCGCATGTGGGTGTGGCCCTTTACGTCCACTTATTGTCAGTTCTCTAATATAAATTTCAAATTATATGCACATATTATAGCTTTTTTTTCCTCCACCTCTATATAGATTTAGTACTCAATTTCCTAATTTAACTGTGTTTTTTTGTGTGCTAAATTTAAATATTCATTAAAAATAGAATATATAAATGTATTATATATACTCGAGTTCTATCTTATTGACATTCAAATATATGTGTCTAGATATGTATGAATTAGATTCACACATGTGATGTGGCAACGAGCAACAGCAATTATTGTAACTCGATCGTAAGGTCGTGCATGTCCACTTATACGTAAACGAGACAATTCTGTCCTTTTTCTAAGAGCATCTTCCACAACTTTGTCATCTGCCAACTTCAGAAAAGGGTACTACGGTAAATAATTATATAGACTTTTCCATTTCTTGCATCTATCTATGAAACCCCTCCATGGATATATTGTGGCATTCGAAATGATATCCGGCCACGGATATATAAATGAAAGAAACAAGTTGACCACCAGAATTTTTGTTTTTGTTTAAAAAGAAAATGGAAAATATTGAGTCTAAAGAAAACATACTTGAGTGGCCTGGCTGAATTTTGTTTAATTTTTGTAAAAAAGAAAAGATAGCTAAAAAAATTAGGTAGATAATTTCTTTTTTTGAGTTCTAAAAAAAAACAGAAGATTTTATTCTGTTACACTTGTCGAAAAGCCATTTCAAAAATAATAATCAAAAGCTAGTCAACAATCAACATGCAGTTGGCTTTTTAATCCGCACTACCAAATATGAGTTGCACGTGATATATACATACTATATACTATTAAGTATTAACCATAGTTTTGTGTGTGTGTGTTTTAACTTTAACAATCAAACTATAATACTGTATGTGATTACAAATATGGCACTGAGTGTTACATACACATCATGAAAAATTAATTAACCGTGATAGAAATTAACCCTAACTCATTTGGTTTATATTTTACACACACGGAAAAAAAAAAACTCATTTGGTTTGAATACACACATGACATCATCATTTTGGTTGATATGAAATTATAAATCGAAGCTGTCAATCATCACGATTTCTTAGGTATTATCGTGTTTGCTATTTGAAAACATTGTTGATCAAAATAGTATTATATATATATATATATATATATGCTTGTACAAAAACTTATTATTATATATATATGCTTGTACATAAACTTATTATTATTATTATTATTATTATATATATAAGCTTATAGTTGTATATAAACTTATATATGCATAGGATTAATTTTCTTTTGTTAATTCTATATTATCAGTAGAAAAATTACAAGGAAAACAATAGTTGAATGATAACTTACATGTATATTGGTAAATTTTCTATAATTTTCTTTGTTTATGATTTTAGTGTTGTGACAGACCAAAAACGATAAATAGACAAATGCGACATTGAGATATTGAAACTTTAAGTTGTGGTTCCGAGCCAATCTGGCCACAGCTCTCTCAACTTTAGAACAGGCAACCCAATTAGCTTCACTAATTAGATGATCTTACAATTTTAAACTTTGCATATTTTGTCGACTTAGAATCGCATGGGTATAAATATTGAGTTTGTGCATCTTGTTGGATCTATTTATTTCAAACGCAAAATAGTGGTTTAGTACTAAAATTTATACACAGTACTTTATCATTAAACACTATATAAAAGTTACAAACGTATACATATAGAATACAAAGAGCAGTGTCTCTTTCAAATTGGGGGACTCAACGTTTCAGTAGAAAAAAAAAACAGAATTATTTGTTCTTATAATTGTTTTTTTCTTTTTCTTTTCGATTTGTTCTTATAATTGTTATTTATATAAACATACAAAAATACAAGTATATATAAAACATAACCACTTTCTATTCAACAAATGGTACATATTGCAAATATATGTTTTTAATGGGATTTCTTTCTCTCTATAAATATAGCATATAAATAAAATAGCTGTCATCTTTTCTTCTATGGCAATTGTTTGATTTCCAAACTTATATTTTAGGCTTATCAAACATGTCTCGCTCTCTAATGTAATAGTACTACCCTTATCTACACACACACATACATATACTTTTTTCTCTCTCGGCTTGAAGAAGTGAAGATTGATCGATGTTAGCTCTCTCTCCGGCAAGTAACTCGACAGGAGATGATTGCAATGGAGAGTCAGAGTTTCTTGCTACGTCGTGTGGATTCAGTATCGAGCCCGAGGAGGAGTTCCCGGATTTCGCTGACCACGGCGATCTCCTCGACATCATCGACTTCGACGATCTGTTCGGCGTCGCCGGAGATGTGCTTCCTGACCTGGAGATCGACCCTGATATCTTAGCCGGAGATTTCTCCGATCACATGAACGCTTCCTCGACGGTGACCACGACGTCGTCGTCGTCGGAGAAGACTGATGGTCAAGGGGAGACTAATAACAAGGGTGTTTCGGGGAAAGGTGAAGAAGTTGTCAGCAAAAGAGACGATGGGGAGACTGCTGTGGCGGAGACGGTGAACTATAACGGTGACAGTGACCGGAAAAGGAAATATCCCTCATCTGGTTCTTCCAGGAACAATCGAATCACTAACAACGAAGGGAAGCGAAAAGTGAAGGTAGATAATATTTTATTACTTATGATATAAAAACCCTAGCTAAAATCGATCATAAATGGATTCGTATTTTTTTTAAAGTGGATTATTCGTTATGATTTATAATTATCATGCCAAAATGTTTGATACTTCAGTCATGTTTTGAAAAAGAAGATTGCGTTAAGACTCTTGTGGAAGATTCTTATCAATTCAGATTTATATTTAAATAATATATGAAACTTGGGAATGTGTGTGAAGGTGGATTGGACACCAGAGCTACACAGGAGATTCGTGGAGGCAGTGGAACAGTTAGGAGTGGAGAAAGCTGTTCCTTCTCGAATCTTGGAGCTTATGGGAGTCCACTGTCTCACTCGTCACAACGTCGCTAGTCACCTCCAAGTATATATATACACAATCTTCTAGTACTAGCTAGTTCATTTTCATTTTATAACTAAACCAAACCAAATTTTGTTTTAATTTGCTTGTCATATTAATACAGAAATATAGGTCTCATCGGAAGCATTTGCTAGCTCGTGAGGCCGAAGCGGCTAATTGGACACGCAAACGCCACATCTACGGGTTAGACTGTACCGGAGCTAATAATATTAATGGTCGGAATAAAAATGGTTGGCTCGCACCCGCACCCACTATCGGCTTTCCACCTCCACCGCCCGTGGCTGTTGCGCCGCCACCTGTCCACCACCATCACTTTAGACCGTTGCACGTGTGGGGACATCCCACGGTTGACCAGTCCGTCATGCCGCACGTGTGGCCCAAACACTTACCTCCACCGTCTACTGCCATGGCTTCTCCACCGTTTTGGGTCTCGGATTCTCCCTACTGGCCTAGGGTGAGTACTTCTCATATACACACTTTTTAAAAAAAATAAAAAAGAATTCATATGAATTATGTAATAATTTCAAACTCAAATATAATTTTCTTTTTTATAGACCCGAAGAGTAGAAAATGTTAATATTCTCATCATGTGACCATGGTTTTATTCCAACTCGTTCCACTAACTTTTATGAATAAACCGGCTTAATTAACTACGGACATTTTTTATTTGGTCGCATATAGGTTCATAACGGGACGACTCCGTATTTGCCGACTGTTGCTTCGGTAATGAACCAACATATTATCTAAGATTGTTTCGTATATAAACCGTTTTGCTCCTACATATATTGTATGTTTTAAATAAACGTTTTTTTTTGCTGCTAATTTTATAGAGGTTTAGAGCACCGCCGGTTGCCGGAATCCCGCAGGCTCTGCCGCCGCATCACTTGGTGTACAAGCCAGATCATGGCTTTGGCGGTGCTCGTGCACCGGTGGACTTACATCCGGTAAGAATGAATTTGAATGTTGTCGAGAGTAAAAAACAAAGTGTTGTCGAGTTTGACTTTTTCGTATTTGCTAATTTTGTAATCATGTTAATGTGTATGTATGCAGTCAAAAGAGAGCGTGGATGCAGCCATAGGAGATGTATTGACGAGGCCATGGCTACCACTTCCGTTGGGATTAAAGCCACCGGCTGTTGACGGCGTTATGACGGAGCTTCACCGTCAGGGTGTCTCCGAGGTTCCTCCGACCGCATCTTGTGCCTGAAACGGACAAGCGCCGGAGGCAAACCCGAACCAAAAAAATTCGACGACATGTCTTTTTAATTCTTGTTTTTTTTTTTCCAAGGGTTGTTTTTTGTTTTGGCCCTTGTTGAGTGTTGAGGGCTTAGTGTCTCATCGTCACCATGTAACTAATAAGGAGACCTTTTAATTTCATATTTTGGGTGCTACTTTGTACGCTCGCTACAACGCAAATAAATGATATTATATATCCTCTCTATAGCCGCTGATGATTTATAACTTGATTGCTTTTTAAATAGTTTTGAAGTACTATAACAATCCAAATGATAACACAAGATACTAAACTTCATTAGTTCATCAATTATAAAGATCATAATCTGACTACATAAACACAGTACACATCATAACTTTGTTGAAAATTTCACCATGGGGCGACAAAATGAATCTTGCATTATTGTGATTTACCATATAAAACACAAATATATCGCTAGAGAACAATATGACATAAAATAATAATGAGGAGGAGGGAGAGAGAGAAAGGACCACGAGATAGGAGGAGAAGGGAGTGCATGGAGGCAACGTAAAATCCAACGTAACGACCTCTTCTTTCTCCAATTGTGACCACTCTCTCTCTCGTCTCCTTCAAATTTTGAATGGTCCCTCTCTCTCTTCATCATTCGTATACACACGGATACTATTAGTAGCATCTCATTTTACACTCGCACATGTAAACATATACTATATCTTTAATTATATGTATACGTATTATATAGTAAAAGAAATCAAAGTAGTAAAAACATATGAATATTATTCGAACCCATCATGGCCTTAAAACATAATATAACCAAAGCTCAATACTCTATCGGTTCAACTTCAGACATGTATATAAATGACTTTGGTCGAAGACAATGAAGTTAAAAAAAAACAAAATTTGGACATATCGAATTGTGTTTATTCTAAGACACTTACATCTGGGAGGATTCCCACACGTGTAGCTTCGATGATGCTGTGTTCATGGAGTTACTAGTCTTTGTCAAGCTACCACCATTAGGAGCAAACAAGGAAAGAGTTGGATTATGTTATTTCCATTTTAATACTACCATTATGCCATTACCATATCAGAAAAGGGAAACTTAGGCCACTAGCTATAGAAGACTTTTAATAACATAATCCTATATACACTACTATATCATATGATCTCCGAACCAGTGCCTATCTATTCTAATTCGCCTAGAGAAGTTCCAGATTTTTTGGTTTGCAGTCAAGATCGAGAAGCTTTGGGATAAAAGATGAGTACATGCGTTGCGATAAATATGAGCTCATGCGTTGGGATAAACACGAGCACACGCGTTGGGATAAACTCGAGCGCTGCTCTTCAGACTAACCTTTTAGGACCATACTTGTTTCTTACAAGTATAAATCGGCGGACTCATGTCTTCCGTGAACCTATTAGGTCGTCATCATTACTCTTTGACTATCGCCCTCGTATGCCAATGACTCTCCGAGCAAGTGCGTCAATGTCTAGTGAGTTTTCGCCTCTGTTAAGTGACCGGCAAGGTTCTGCTGTTAAATGGGAGCAAAGTTCTGACGTGTGGTTATTTGATAAGTCCAATGGTGGTGAGGTCAGATTCTGTTCCTCACATTTAACTTGTTATACAAATCTAAAAAATATATCTTTTTATATTGTATTTAACATAAAAAATTATAATTAAAATTTTATAAAAAAGTTCAACTTTTCAAACAAGCAATAATTTAAATATATAAATGGTTTCTAAGAAAATGAAAAAAGTAATAATTTTTTTCTTTATCATTAAAAAAATAGTTTTCTTACAAAATCGTCCATAACTATCTTAATTGATAACAAAGCCAATCCATTCAATATTTTTTGCCACATCGTAGATAATAAATAATTCTTTCATAAACTTTAACTTAAAATATTATTGATATATAAATATTAATAAATAACTATGAGAAGAAAAAAAATTTAAAAATGATGCCCCTGAAAATTTTGCTACCTATAATCTCCTGATTACCTCATGGGCCGGCCTTGCCTATATGTCTAATGATTATTGTAATGAATTTTGTTATCAGATGTCACAGGAGAAATCGGTTGAAGAGTTGTTGCGGGATATAAAAACGGTATGTTTCCAAGAACTTAGGGGCATAATTTTCGTGTTCCCTATATGTCAATTTCCTTCCTAATGATTGTTGTAATGTGATGACTTTATTTTTGGATCAGTTTACACCCGAGGAAGCATCCGAGAAATGTAAGGAGTTGATGGATGCATATAATTTGAGGAATAAGGGGAATGAATCATCGCCAGAACATATGTCGCAGGACTTAAATGCTATATACAAAGAGTGGCACGTTCCTCCACGTGGTCCGGGTGGAAGAGGAGGAGGAGGAGGAGGAGGAGGCGGTGGTGGAAACGGTGAAGGGCGTCCCAAAGTCAGGGTTCTAGCAATCTTAGGCTTCTTTTTGTTGGTAAAAAAGACGGCAACTTTCTATAAAAGATTAGAAACTTTACCGTATCTTCTTGCATTGATCCAATCTTGTTTCATTCTTTTTCCCTGCAGTATCTCTTCATTATCAATAGGGAGGAATCGGTGAAGCTTGCGAGGGATTACACAAGGTTTCTGATGGGAAAACCTAAGACTGTTCGATTGACCAGGGCCTTTGATGGTTGGGATGAATTCACGGAGAAGATGTCGAGGCAAAGAGTTTACGGCGAGTACAAACGTGTCATTAGGGCTTATGTGGATTCACTCTCTGATGATTAGGAACACACATGAATTGATTCATTGTAACAGTTGAAGTTTTTCTTTGCTTGTGCTTCAAGAATCTTTGGGCCTAGTTTGTGTATACACATGATCATTATTCTCAAGATGGAAATCATATAAAATGCAATCCCAAAATCTATCATGACAATAAATCAAAATCAAAGTTTCTTGGCCTGCATGTCTACAACATACTGGTGTAGGAAATCGTTTTATTTGCATCAGTTTCCTCAGGTAAAAAAAAAAAAGATCAGTGTTTCTTCCATGTGAATATTCGAATTTTTTAGACATGCGAGGCCCATGTGAGAAGAACTGACTAACGATGCCCAATAAGTAAGTTTTATGGGCTTAAATGGGCTGAAAGTTCAGCCGATGAACCCATCATTGAAATCTTGATCGAGGGGTTATCTCCTCCGATTCCGATATTACTTTTGCTTTCCAATTTCTCTTTTGCTTTGAGAGAGAAGTTGCAGAAGAGTGTTAATTCATCCCTAGCTCTTGCAATTAGTAGAGAGTTTTCGATAGCGCAAGTCTAAGAAGCTGCTCGATTCGGACGAACTGGTGCTAGTTTGCAACTAGAGAGAGAGATGGCTCCAACTCCCGATCCCAACAGTGTCGGAGGCGGTGCGAAGCAGGATGAAGCTCCCGTGAAGGTTCCGTCGAAGGATCCCAAGAAGAAGGACGAGAAAAAGGAAGAGGACCTGGTGAGTTTTTCGATCTCGGTTTGATTTGCCTTTCTCTTGTTCGACATTGTGTTTGTCTTTTTTGTTGGAGAGCTTGTTTGGTATCTGGGTACATCACAAGAGCATTTAATTTCAAATCTGTAGGAGTTCTTAAACGGAAATCGATCGAATTGAACTAAAATGTTATAGAATTAGGGTTTTACTGGCAAGCTGTTCATTTGTTTCTGCAAATCGAATGTCATGTATTCAATCCACTAGCGGGATTAGAAACTCGTGCACTTGGACAAGTAGCAACTTTTTGTACTCTGGTCATCTCCAGCTTTTGTAGCTAGTATATGGTCACCATATGACTCAGCTTACATTGGGTGTGATTGTAGTCTGAAGAGGACTTGGAACTAAAGCAGAACCTTGAGCTCTATGTCGAGAGGGTTCAGGATCCCAATCCGGAGCTGCAGAGGGATGCACTTGAAAGGATGAGGTGGTTTTTATGAATCCTGATTTTGACTTGATATTATTGCCATTGAAGCTTGTTTAACTTTTACAACGTTTTTCTTTGTTTTCCTGCTCCTAGTGTACGTGTTTGTGTTTTAATTTATTCCCTTTCTTATTCTCACTTCGTAGGCAGGATATCCGAGCTTCAACAAGCTCCATGACTTCAGTTCCCAAACCACTAAAGTTTCTCCGTCCCCATTATGGAACTCTTAAAGCATTCCATGAAACAATGGCTGATTCTGATCTCAAGGTATGTAATTATACATTTCAAGCCATACCTCGTTAACACCTATTTTGTTCCTATTATGGGGTATGGCTTAAAGATCACTTTTACTGTGTTTGCAGAAATACTTGTCCGATATCCTCTCCGTCTTGGCCCTTACCATGTCTGCGGAGGGTGAAAGGGTATGCTTCTATCTACCTAATGGGCTTAGTAAAATATGTGTTTCTACCAATTTGTTCCATCTTTTCATCTCTGTTCCGCCTTTACACAACTGTTGTGGGGCTCTTGGTAGAGTTCTGTTCAGTTCATTTTACTGGTTTGTATTTTATGTGGCATGTTTGAACTGTTATTCACTTTGTTCTACAATGTTATTCCAGGAAAGCTTAAGTTATAGGTTGATTGGAACAGAGGGTGACATTGGATCGTGGGGTCACGAGTATGTCAGGAATTTAGCTGGAGAGATTGCGCAAGAGTATACAAAGCGTCAGGTTAGAAATTAATTTCCCATTTTGTCTTTGGCAGTTCAGGTTATTGGAAGTTGTGTTTGGGTTTATCCTTCCGATGTTTGGTGTTGTAAGGAACAGCTATAAGGTTTCTTATCACGAGAAGGCTTACTGAATCTGATACATGGCTATCTACCGGTTTGCTTTGTTATTTCAGAGTGAGGAGGCCCCAATTGACGATTTAATGGACCTTGTACAGCAAATTGTTGCTTTTCACATGAAGGTGAAGTCCTAACGATGGTTTTTTTTACAAAATTTTTCTTTGGCCCTTGTCGTGCGAATGAATAGATATTATAATTTATAGGGTTAAGACTAGCTCCGTTGGTGGTTTTTTTTTTCTTTCTGAAGAATTCCATTTTATTCCTTGCAGCATAATGCAGAAACCGAAGCTGTTGACCTTCTAATGGATGTGGAGGATCTGGATCTCTTACTTGAGCATGTAGACAAAACAAATTTCAAGAGGACATGCAACTATCTCACAAGTGCAGCAAAGTACGGTCAACATAGTCAATCCCATTCATTAGATTTTTCTTCACTCTGTGTGGTTTTAGACCAGTCATGTTTTTATATTACTTATCTTGTTTTAGATAAGCCTTGCTTGATTATATTGCTCACAAAAGTCTCTTTGACGTCTAATATATTCGAATTTTCAGGTACCTTCCTGGACCAGATGACATGTTGGTTCTAGATATTTCCTACATGATTTACATGAAATTTGAAGAATATCCAAACGCTCTGCAGATTGCATTATTTCTTGATAACACGCAGGTAGGATTGTAATCTTCCTGTTGACCTCTATGTTAAGTAGTTCATGTATTCGCGTGGAACTTTTCGATTTTTAATGTTTTCTTTGATATATTTTTATGTATTGCAGTATGTTAAACAAGTATTTACCTCATGTGCTGATCTGCTAAGGAAGAAACAGTTTTGCTACATGATCGCTCGTCATGTAAGTTCTTAAATATCCCTGCGTTATTATATTTAACATCGTCATCTCATTCCTTCTCTTTTTGTAAGTATGTTTTGGTTACTTTTATATTCTTTAAGAGTTGGTTTTACTTTTATTTGATTTTTTTTCCGGGTAAGTGATATAAAATGAGAACAGTTTTTGTATTTGTTATGGATCATGATCTAGAGGGAATTTAAATCTATGTTATGATTGGCCTTAGATGTTGGCGGGCCTGTTACTTTTTAAGAATTTTTTTTTGTCTGGGAAGACCTCATGCTTAAGCCACATTGACTCCTATTCTCTTCTAAGGCAGACACCGATCAACTGCTGCATACTGCTTCAATTTCTATTCAGATAGAGATACACTGCCGTTGACATACTATCTTATACTTCTTTTCTCCTTGTATGCCTCCCTGCAGGGTATAACCTTTGACCTTGACGATGAGATGGTTGCAGATGACGATGACCGAGAAGCCCTACAGGATATTGTTAACAACACTAAGTTAAGTGAAGGATTTCTAACTCTTGCTAGGGATATTGAGGTCATGGAGGCCAAAACACCTGAAGACATCTACAAGGTAAATCAGTTTTAATGGGTTTTAAGCCTGCTACTCGTTTATTTAGTTGCAAATTATTCTTTTCTCAGTCTTTGACCTGCCGTTTTGAATTTTGTAGGCTCACTTGCTCGATGGCAGGGCCAGCTCTGGTGCAAGCGTGGATTCTGCTAGACAGAACTTGGCTGCTACCTTTGTCAATGCATTTGTAAATGCTGGTTTTGGTCAGGTACGGTAGTAGATTGTAGTAATATATATCTATTAGCAGACATGTCCTCTAACTTTATTTGTTAATCGCAGGACAAACTAATGACAGTACCTTCAGACTCAACCACCGGATCTTCTGGAAATTGGCTCTTCAAAAATAAAGAACATGGAAAGACTAGTGCAGCTGCTAGTCTGGTATGTGTGTTCGTACTTGATGATTTTTTTTTTTTTTTTTGCTGTGGTCTGATCATTGAAGTAGAAATTCTTACCAGATCTTGTTATTTCCCTATCATAGGGTATGATTCAACTGTGGGATGTGGACGCGGGACTTGCCCAACTCGACAAATATTTCCATAGTAATGATAATCCTATCATTGCTGGAGCACTGCTGGGAGTTGGGATTGTAAATTGTGGCATTAAGAACGATTGTGATCCTGTGAGTTAATGTCCTGTTTGATTTTGTGGGAACCACTTGTGGTAATATTGGCAGTCATTCTTTCATCTTACTCAGCTTTATTTCTCAGGCATTGGCACTTCTTGGAGACTATATAGACAAAGAGGATTCATCTGTCAGAATTGGTGCTATCATGGGTCTTGGAATTGCATACGCAGGTTCCCAAAATGACCAGGTCAAGACATGTTATTCTTTTTCCTATATTACAAGTTGAATGTTTTGGGGTGTTGACAAAACATTAACATGCTCACTGTTTCGACAGATAAGAAGCAAGTTGTCGCCGATTCTGAATGATGCGAAAGCACCTCTCGATGTGATTGCATTTGCTTCACTTTCTTTGGGAATGATCTATGTTGGTTCCTGTAATGAAGAAGTAGCACAGTCTATAATATTTGCATTGATGGATCGAAGTGAGGCAGAACTGGGAGATGCCCTCACTCGTTTCTTGCCACTTGGCCTTGGACTTCTATACCTGGGCAAACAGGTGGGTAGTGTGTTGTACTTAATCTTGCTCTTTGTACATAGTCATTATTTGCGTTGCTTGATCAGCATTAACTTGTTCCACTATCTACCAGGAAAGTGTAGAGGCTACAGCTGAAGTTTCAAAGACGTTCAATGAGAAGATTAGAAAGTACTGTGATATGACACTTCTTTCCTGTGCTTATGCTGGAACTGGGAATGTCCTTAAGGTATCTAATCGTTTGTGGTGGTGGTTGAATGACATAATTCGTTGCTTTCTTGTTTAGTTGTTGACTCCTGCTTATACGTCCAGGTCCAAGACCTTCTTGCTCAGTGTGGAGAGCATCTTGAGAAAGGTGACATCCACCAGGGCCCAGCTGTGCTTGGATTAGCGATGGTTGCTATGTCTGAAGAACTGGGCATTGATATGGAGATCCGTTCTTTGGAGCGGATGCTACAATACGGAGAACAAAACATTAGGCGTGCTGTGCCTTTGGCCCTCGGTCTGCTATGTATATCAAACCCAAAGGTGAATACTTTTGTAAATCTAGTTTTACTCCATCTGCTTACAGAATATTGCTGGTGGTTGTTATAGTAATGCTGGTTTTCACAATTCCAGGTGACTGTAGTGGACACCTTGAGCCGGCTTAGCCATGACACAGATTCGGAAGTTGCCATGGTTAGTAATCATTTCGCTTCACAGCCTGTCCAGTAACTAATAGTATTGAGAGGGGACTGATCTTTCTCTTCTGACTCGTACAGGCAGCAATCATATCATTGGGACTGATTGGTGCTGGAACTAATAACGCAAGGATAGCCGGGATGCTTCGGAACCTGTCGAGCTATTATTACAAGGACGCCAGTCTCCTCTTCTGTGTAATGTGTTCCTCAAACAGTTTTTGTTTTTGTTTTTGTTTTTGTTTTTGTCCCCCGCAATAAAATTGTTGAAATGGATTGTACTCACTTGGGTAAGTCACTATGCAGGTGCGTATTGCGCAAGGGCTGGTACACATGGGAAAGGGTCTCATGACACTCACCCCCTTCCACTCTGAACGGTTCTTGCTATCGCCGTAAGTTGAACAAATTCTTTTTGTTACTAGTGATTTTTGATAGTTGGATGTTGGAAGCTTTGTAATGTGAATGTTGTACTCTGCTCATGCAGAACCGCACTTGCTGGTATAGTTACACTCTTGCATGCATGCCTCGACATGAAGCCAATCATACTCGGGAAGTACCATTATGTGCTTTACTTCCTCGTTTTGGCAATGCAAGTGAGTTCAGTTTCAGTCCCGTGTTTCCCCCTCTTTTTGTTTACTTGTGATTATCTTGCTATGATTGATAATTTTTTGATCTATTTCCTTTTTTTTTTGGGTAAAAAATCGTAGCCAAGGATGATGTTGACAGTGGACAAAGACCTGAAGCCACTGTCGGTGCCAGTGCGGGTAGGACAAGCAGTGGATGTAGTTGGACAAGCGGGTCGGCCCAAGACCATAACCGGTTTCCAGACACACTCGACACCTGTTCTCCTGGCGGCTGGTGAGAGAGCCGAGCTAGCCACCGACAAGTATGTTCTTCTTCCTTCCTTTTGTACCTTTTCTGTTTCGTATGAAAAGCCTCGGTGTCTGATTATGAAAAGCTCTCTGATTGTAAATGGCAAACAGATACATTCCTCTTTCGCCGATACTGGAAGGGTTCATCATTTTGAAGGAGAATCCAGACTACAGAGAGGAGTGAAGAGAATAAATACGGTTAATTTGGAAAGTTGACAACTTTTGCGAGACCACAACAAAGAGACTAGACCGGCCTTTGTGCTATGCTATGCATTCTCAGTTATCTCTAGATTTTAACGTGTTTATTGTTTCGTCTATGTTCCTCATATCTTCTCATATAAATGTTCTGTCTCCGTTTAAGCCTATTTCATCGTCTTGGGATCTTTTTGTATAACGTTAATCATCGTCTTGGGAATTTTAAAGTCTGTTTTTGTATGTTTTATTTTGTAATTGTAAGTCGTCACACACACATCCTGAGACCTAATCAACTCGGTGGTGACCTACAAAAAAATCGTAAAATCATACTACAATCCCAAGTGAATGGATTTTTTTTGAAAATTTGGTCAGGGTATTAAAATGGGCCAAGAAATGAAATTGGGCCAGTGGATCCAGTCCTAACAGGCCTTCACGGCCTAAGAAATTAAAATGAGACGCACGTCTATAGACAACCGCGCGTTTGTAGCGAAGATTTCGTCCAAACAGGCCTTCACGGCTTATAGGGTTTATCATTTCCCCGTAGTCGTCGTAATCGGAAGCCATCGATTCACCTCCACCTCCACAAACCTCTTCTCGCAGCTCTAGTTTTTTTTTTGTTTTACCTTCTCTTCAGCTTCTCTCCCGATGGCCACCTCCGCCGTCATCTCCGGTGCCAGATCGATGCTCCGAGCTGCTTCTTCTCGGAGCGCCGCTGCTTCGACGGGCCGCTTCGCCTCTCAAGCCAAGTCCGTTCCGCCGATGTTTAGAGCCACCGCTAAGAGAAGCCCACTTTTTTCCCCTCTAAGGTTAGTCTCTGTTATTCCAATTGGCTTATTTGATCTCTTTTCTTCGTTCTGTGTATTATTAGATTTCCTGCTTACTTGAAGCTTGTCACTGTATCAGAAGATGGCTGATCCAAAATTATCTAGTTTCAAATGAAGAATTTCATGTTTTTATGTGCTCTTTCTATAAATGGAACCTTGGAAACGATACAATGCGATCCAATTTTGTGAAAAGAAGGAACTTGTTTATGATTCCGGTTTGTTCTTTGTGAATACATCTCTGCGTTACTTAATTAGTGTCTTGTTGTGTTTATATAGAAATCCTGTGGAACTGAGCATCTGCGTGGAGTCAATGTTACCATACCACACTGCCACAGCTTCAGCGCTTATGACTTCAAAGCTTTCAATCTCTGGGCATACCTACGGCTGGCTCTCTGACGGTACTTTCTCTCATCCTCTTTCTTTACTAGATGAGTGGAGATATGCTTTTGTTTGATCGTTGCTCTGTTTTGAGAAATGTTTCTGTATTGCCTGTCTAGATTTTGGTTGTCGATTGCACTTGAGTTGCTTATTGTAGAGAATTATAATGAAAGAATCATTAATGATTGGTCTTATTAATACTCCCAGCTTGCAATGATGATGTGTGATGAGTTAGCCAGAAGATCACTGAAGCTACAGAGTTTATGTACAAAAACTCTATACCTTTTATTTGCCCATAAACTTAGGAACCAAAACCCTGGCCCTACCTTTTTGCTGAGTTTCTTGGGAGAGATTGTGTTTGTTTGTAGCCTTTTTAAGACATTTCTGTATTTGAATTAGAACGATAACTAGCTGATGTTTGGTATAATTTATCAGCTTGCAAAGAGGACTTTTGATGATGATGTCTACAAGCACCCAATGCGATTCCGAGAGATGTTTTAACAGTGTTTATGCAAAGAATAATTGTTCTACTGCTCAAACGCAGATGATCTTTGTCTTGAATTCTCCATCTTTTTAATCCATGATGATCTCTGCTGTTACATCAACACATAAACACAAATTAACTGCATCTTTTTTATCAAGGTTCTCGTTGTCTTCAGTTTTCCATTTCAAAAGCAACTCGTATGTTCTCTGTCTTAAAGAGTTTCCACATAAAAGACGATCTCATTCAATCAACTCTCTTATGATCAACACGTCACAAACTCTGAAGTGCATATTATTTGTTCAGGAGTCTCATTATCTCAAATACAAAAAGCAACTCAAATGATCTCTAACGACTTATGGCGTCCACGGCGTTATGAGATGTGCTCTATCCTATGCATCTATATTCTTTAGTTATAGACATTGGGAGGTCTGTGCGAATCAAATCTTAGCTTTGGTAATGTAATGAATACATTACTAGACTTTTGCAGAGATGTACCTTTGTTTTGTTCTTGTTGATCATTTAGCTATTTTGGTTGTGTTTCATTGCAGGTTTGGTGAGAGTTATCACTCTGTTGGCTTAGCTATTTTCTTCTTTTTGGTTATCATGTTCATGTCCTGATTATACTGCTCAAACACAAAAATGATGTCTCTTAACACAAAAATGACGTCTTTGTCTTGAATTTTTCATATAATAGACAGATATCTCCATCTTAACTCTCTATGACCTCTGTTACATCAACACACATACTCAAATGCATTTGTTCACGGGTCTCCTCATCTTAAATTTCCATATAGAAGAAAACACATATTCTCCATATCTCTATGACATTAACTCCAGATTTGAAATTGCATCTCTGTTAAATGGAGTTGGGCACAAAATTGTACAAACACTAGAGTTTCTTTGATCCTTGAGTTTCTGCAACCACCATCACTAATGCTTGCTCGTCTTGTGGCTGTGTCGTCTGTTCTTCCTGTGGGAGTGTTTCTTCCTCTTGCTTCTCACTCTCACTCTCAACAGGCTCCACTTGATCGGGATTTAGCTGTAGATTCTGTCTCCTATACCGAAATATCACTAGGATGATAAAAACTGCAAAACATGAAAAGATTTATAAGTTTGGTATCAATCAAAAGAATACTCTGTCAAGCATCGATTGGGTAAAAAGTGACCTGCAAAAATCCTGATTCTAATGCTTGTCAAGTTCCAAAACGCTGTCACCGCAGAGCCTGCCAAGATCTTCTTGTGTGAGCACATTCCCCATGCTTCACTTATTCTCCTTCTCACTCTTTCAACTGCCCAAAATCAAGATTTTAAAACATTGGATTATGTTAGTATCCCAAGACTCTTTGTAATTTGTCTTTGCGTGTAACCCAATGATTACAATATGTGATTAGGTTTCTTCACCTTTTTGGCTAATCTGATGGGTGTAACACGAATAAAGCTTTGGGATGGTGAAGCTGAGGAAGAAACCTGTTTCAGTCACACACACATGTCAATTTCAGTTCCCATCATCCCTTAACATTTGTATTGACTTTGTGTCCCAAATGCCATACCAAATGCGGAGAGCCTCCACAGCGTTATGAGATGACCGTACTCAGCTCCGATTAGCAGAAATGGTGTCACCTGGGGGGAAGAAAGAGAAACGTCAAACGAAAACCCACCAAATCCGATTTGCTAAAAAGAGAGAGAGAGACAAAGTGTTATGCAGATTTGTACTTTGAGTGTCATTGATGGTTCTCCTGAAAAAAGCTCACTAGTCTTTGAAATGGCAAAGTTAGCAGCGGGGAGGAATCGTCTGGCTAAGCGCAAGACATCATCTTCACTCACATGGAACTCTCTCTTCGTGTCTTCGTTTTTCCTAAAGATAGCACATCGATGGATCAAACAGTTAGCTTTGACAAACAAAACTGGGAAAGGGCAACAGAAAAGCCTGTGTACCTTTGACAAAGAGTGTTTGACAAGAAGGACCCGCAGAGTAACACAAGCCCGAGATTCGACACCACCGAGAAAACGCTTCAAACACAGAAAATGGTTTCATGAGTTTTGTTTTTTCAGATTTGAATTTGATTGAGAGGGTACTAATGAGTAATACCTAAAGTTGACTCCTTTGGCGAAGCAAGAAGATAGGAAACAGAGACATCCAAAACCGAACCAGAGGGTCGATTTCGCAGCATCCCTCCACATAACCAAATCGCTGATGATCTCTCCGATTCGGTTCAAATCGCTTTGACATGCATCTGAAGACGACGAGCAAGGAGGAGGAGCCGCCGCCGAGCTTGGCTTTTCCTTCGTAGGGCGACCACTCGTCTTCCGTTTTCTGGGCTTTGCGACCTCTTCGACCACTTCCTTCTCTTCCACAGCCTCCGACCTTCGCCTGGATCTCCGGGGAATCCTGGGAGAAGCCAAAAGACCCTTTTGCCCTCCCTTCGCCTTTCCCCGCTTGCGCACAGCAGCAGCCGCTTCCTCGGAGGCCATTTCGAGTCGATCGGCTAAACGGGTCTTCGATTTGCGGAGCGGGGAAGGAGATAAGAGGAGCGTATCGCCAAGAGGAACAGGAGAAGACGAGGATCTGAGGGATGCGCACGGAGTATCGCTGCTCTTCGGAATCGGAGACACAAGAACCAAATCAAGTGAGAGATTTTTCGGAGGTTCTTGCTTCCAATCGTCGAGACGCGAGGCTGATTTAGTGTTGGATCGGTGATAAGGAGGCGTGGAGTCCATTATAATTTGGTTTGAGAAATCGCAGAGAAGAACAATTAGGGTTTTTGTTCTTTGCAAATGGGAATCTGAGTGAATATATATATGAGAGATTTTCATTCTTTGGCATGGAGAGTGTTCCAAGAAAGAAGACAGACCAGTGGACCAGAGAGCCGTTGTGGGAAGATTGTTTTCCTTTTCTAAATGTTTCATTTGAATCTTGACGGTAAACCAAAACGTGGCTCCGTCTATTTTAACGGCATAGTACAAACTACAAAAGGAAAGGTTTAATAAACGCCAAACATTCTCATGGGTGCTTCTTGGAGTGTCTCTGAGCAAAGTTGTTTAGCCTGGAAAGCCCATCTACAAGGAGCTCGAGCTCGACCGCAAAGGTGATGCGTAGCCAGTTCCTAAGCCCAACAGCTCGACCCGGTAGGATGATCAAAGATTCCTCTTTAGCCAACTTGCAGCAGAACTCCAAGTCATCTTTGATATCTTCAAGATGCCCAAACTCTATCTTCACCTGCACCAAACCAAACCCATTGACCCCTCGGGCTTGATCAAACGACAGTGTATGGGATTCATTTCAATACCCATACCATAGTGAACATTGACCCCTCGGGCTTGTAAGGGCAAGTGATGCAAGGGATCTTCTTCATCTCCTCGTAGCAAGTCTCTGCACATTCTCTTAGTGTTTCGAGTTTCGACGAGAAGAAATCCTCTTTTGTCTTGCCAAGGATATCAGGAATTGCTCCCTGCCAATGCCATGCCAAGGATAACAGGAATACAGAAATGACAAAAGACTCCAAATGGCTCAGATTCTTCAGTATCAAGCAACATACCTGAATAAAAGTTGTGGGATCTGTCGACATGTTGAGGACGTTGGCAAGACTGTGTACGAGCTAATATATAGACAGAAACAAAATGACTTCAGTCAGAGGAGATTTTCGTTTTTTAGGTTATTAATGGATTGTCAAGGAACAAACCCCAGAGTCTTTCATGAAGCTATGAGGGTCAAGGGTGACCATCCAGCCAAATCTCCAGCCGGGAACGGACCACCTCTTTGAGATTGCACCTAACAGCATCACTGGCACAATCTCTGCAAACTCAGCCATGGACACAAATGGCTTCTCCCCAAATGCCATTTTCATGTAGACTTCGTCTGCGATCACAAGCACCCCGAGCTTGCTAGCAGTTTCTGCAATCTTTTGCAGGTGTTGGCGCGAGAAGACGTTTCCACATGGATTGCAAGGGTTTATAAGAAGCAGAGCGACGGTTTTGTCATCTGCGAGAGCCTCAACTGCGTCGAGATCAACCTCCCAACCATTATCTGGAAGGAGGTCGTAGCGACGGATCTCTAGCTTGCTGAAAGTTGCTCGGGAATCGTACATCGGGTAAGTGGGCCTAGGCAGCAGAATGTTGGCCCCAGGAACCGCGAGCGTGGAGATCAAGACGTCAATGGCGTGATGACAACCAGCTGTCAGATGAACGTCGTTTGGACAGATCTGGTAAGAGAGGTCGCGGGAGAGGTACTCTGCAACAGCCCTGTTTAGGATGGAACCAGAGTCATCAAAGTGTAGTCGTAATCTAAAATCAGATAAGCCCTTGAATGAGTTCTACCCACAAACCAATTAGACGATTCAGAGTGTTGCCTTTGGGGACAAGTAAAGCATATGCGGCGTTGAACAGAAACATGAATCTTGAGTACCAAGTAAGCAGTTCAGCATTAGTATTGAATCATCCCCACTCTCAACTTCTTAGTTCTAACAAGATGATGATGAATGATAAAGAAAGAGAAAGAATGAATTGTCTTCTTACTTCCTAGCGAGAGGAAGGCCAGAAGTAGTGGAATAGTGGTTAAACTGTGCGGAGCGGAGAGCGTGGCAGACGGCTTCCACGGCGGCCGGATCGGTACGGAAGGAGGGGAAGGGAGAGGGATCGCCGTGCCCGAGAGGGATGACTGCTCTGCCGTCATTGCCGTCGAGATTATCGGCGAGGAGGTTCAGAAAATAGCGGACGTTCTGCGAACAAGATTGCTCGACGACCTCATTGGCCCCAAAGTTCCATCGCTTACCTCCGCTTTCTCCCATTTTCTGACTTTTCTGATGATTGAAAGCTTGTGGAGTAGAGTGAGTGAGTGAGTGGCGTAGCTCAGGGTGGGGTTTCAACTTTAAACACTATTAAAGATATATTTTTGGATGTCTAATGTCAACTTTCCAACTACATTCCGGACGGTCTTTTATAATTGATTGATAAAAAACGTGTTCTTATTCTTGTTCCATTTAAAAGTGTTGTATTTGAGTAATTCTTTGACTGATGATTTCAGAAATTTAATCAAACTTATGCGAAACCAAAATAAACTACAAAAAATCATAAAACTTAGATAATGTGGAGTAAGTTATATGATTTCAAATTTGTACAAAAAACAATATCAGCCATTTTTATTGATCATTATTATTATGTTGAATCATTTCTAATTAATCTTAGTAAATCCAGCCCCGTCTTAGTAATTTCAAGAGCCTTGAGCGAAATACAAAATATGGAAATTTTATATTATATTAGTAAAAAGTAATTGTATGAATCATAATAAACTAAACTATAATTTTTTGACTTTTTAAAATATAAAATAAGTTGCTAGTTTGTTAAAAAAAAATACATAACTAGTTTGTATAATATTCTTTTGACATAATACTTCATTCAAATGCATCATTTCTGTAAATTGCATAAATTCATCAAACATAAAAAAATACAAAAAAATATTAATTCTTTTTAGAAAAATAAAAAATCATATATATCTTTTTCTAACTTTATTAATGCAAAATTATTGATAATTGTTTTAAAATTTATAGTTTTTAAAATGTTTTTTTCAATGCATAAAAGTACAAGACCATTCAACCTTTGTTGAAACATTGATCTGATCTTGAAATTTTTTGTAATTTTAAATAATTAAGATGGTTGTTGTCTTGTTAACAAAGAAAACAGTTAAGGGATAATCATTTTTGTATAAGTAGGTTATGACGTCTTATTAATAATTGAATAAATCATGAGTTTTTTTATGTACTATAAATTAATTATATAAATATAACTGTCTTCAAGATTATATTTTTAACAAAATTTATAATATAAAAAAAAATTGGGCCATTAAATTTTAGGTATAATTTCTTTTAGATCATAATCCTTTTTTTATTAAATGGATCGTGTGTCTTATTATGTACTACAAATTAGTTCTATTTTTCCTATTAAATGGATCGTATGCCTTATTATGTACTATAAATTAGTTCTATTTTTCTTTAATTTGTTAAAGAACACATTATAACAAAGTTTTCAATATATAAAAAAAAAATTGGGTCCTTAAATTTTTGAGCCCATGGCCATTGTCCTTCTTACCATGCCTCATAGCCGGGGCTGAGTAAATCTGTAACAAAATGTTTATTTTCATTTCAAGTTTCAATTAATTCTTTATCAAATAAATTAAAATGTTCTGTATAAAATCTATTAATATCATTAACCAACAACTAAAATCCATTACTATAAAAATAGAATAAATTATACAACTATGAAAGTGCTGAAATGGTTAAAAATCAAAACCATTTTTTTCAAAAGATAAATGTCGTTAATAACTATTATGTCTTTATTATGAACAAATAAAAAAGAAAGAAAGAGAGAAAAACTGTGAAAGATATTTTCCTAAAAATATATTTTATTTAGTAAATATAAATATTTTATCTTAAAAATATCATTTCTATTTAAAAATTTATAAATGTATAATACAGGTGCATATATTCACTTTTTATAAGATTTAATGCTTTAAAAACATATCAAATTTTGAATATTGAAGGAAATGAAAATATAAAGCCAATTAAGACCAAATACAAATATTAGTAAAAGAATCTACACAAAATTAAAAGAAATGCATATAAAAAAGTATTATAAATAAAAATTGATTACTAGAAAATACTCCAATAAAAAACAGTGATAAGATATAAATAAATTCATTTTTGTCAGATTAAAAAATGGGAAAATGGAGTGCAATAGTGGTGATAATGATGGTGATGATTGTTGCAGCGGTCATGGTAGAAGCTGATTGGCAAAATGATTGGACTAACTGTTTTCATGAATGTTCAAATTCATGTGATAATAACAATGGCAACTGTTTTGAACGCTGTAAAATCCAATGCGGTGGCCCAAACCCTTCCCATAGTTCCTCTTTTGCTCCACGGTATTTATTCCAAAAAAACTTCAATTATGTTTATAATTTTATGTATTTATATTTTAATTAATTTTTTTGTTAAAGATAATTAATATTCTAACTATCTATGATTTATTTGGATGAATAGAATTTCTTCTGGGATGGCATCGGAAAAGCAAAATGATATATTATAAAAGATTTGTGATCATGTTTACCGTTGTTAACTTATATTAAAAATTTAATAAAAAAGTTGTATTTATTTATTTTTACAGGTTATAAGTACCAAGTATTTAAATAAATACCTATAAAATTACATCAAATAGACAAGAGTGTAAACATACAAAACTAGTAATACTAAAAAGATAAGTGGTTTTACCGACTTTACAATAATAATTTTAGCTAAAATTGTTCATAAATGTTACCAATGTTATAACTTATAAATGTATGAATGTATGATATCTACAAAAATCTGAGATAAGGTATAATGGTATATTGTCAATATGTAAACATGGTTCATTCTTGTAATGCTAATCTTTGTTGTTCCTAAATAAAGTTAGTTTCGCATAGATGAATTTGGATTTATCTCAAATGAGGCAAAACTTGTTTTTCAATAATTTTCAAATGAGGCAAAAATTATGAGCATCAATTTCGCAGTTCGGGATGAAATCATAAATTCACAGTTTAAAATATCAAATAGCAGATCTAATATCTTTTGAGCATATAGTTAAATATAATTTAGCAGTATGACAAAAAAAATATAACATGTGATTCAAAATATAGTAAATAATTTTAACAGAAATATTTTGATATCTTAAAGAGTTTGCATGCAATTTCTCATCCAAATTCACCATTAGCAGAATTCAAAATTTTATATTGGTTTATGCAAGTGAGTTTGTGTCCAAATACCAAAATTAACATCTGAACACATACTGAGCACAAATGAAAAAAGGTAAGACAACTAACTTTTTTTTATATATAGGTCCCTAATTTATGTTCCAAGTTCCAACTATGCTATTTGACAAACTAACCAGAGTGTTTTATTTATTGGTTTAATTATGTAATGTAGATAATCAAATAGAAGGGAAATCAAAATGGAAAAAGCAGGAATGACATTGAATATTCCTTAGGCACATCGTACATACATATGTAATGTCTTATATTCCGACATTATTATCACTCAGTTTCAACGCTTGAAGTGGCTCAGTTTCTGTATCTGTCTTCTTGGCATGACGTGTACAGAAACCCTTGAGTCTCTCAAGTGCATCTTCAAGCATATGAGCTTCCACTCCGATGGTTATCCTCATCCAGTTCTTCAAACCCAGAGCCTCTCCTGCGAAACATCCACACACAAACGAACTCATTTTAGTATCAAAACCCAAACCAAGATTCATGTTTCTTGTTTTCATTTGCTTTTACCTGGCAGAAACACGAGGTTTTCCTCTCTGGCCAGCTTCACGCAGAAATCAATGTCGTCTTTGATGTTCTCCAACAATGACAGCTCCAGCTTCGTCTGCAGTAAGTGAACACTGTTAAAATGGATATCACTGGACAAAGAAATCAGAGAATCATCTAAGTGTGGTATATCTACAAGCACCAAAATGTTTTTTTTGTTTTCCTATTCATCACTTTCGAAGAATCACTAGTCTAACTAGCTACAGTTGTGGATGTGTCTGGTTATAATAGAAGTTCTACCAATAAGTAGGTGCAAGACTCGGGTTTCTTGGGACAAACGACGGAGGGAATGTCCTTGAGCCTATCACACACCAAATCGACATTATGTTTTAGTATCTCGTTCTTCTTTGCAAAGAACTTTTTATCCGCTTTCTCCAGGATCTTGGGAAGTGCAGCCTGTCAAAAAGGATCGGAGCTCAGTGTCATGAATCCAACGACTAGTTAAGCTAAAGAACCAAACAATTCTAAAAGCACAAAACCTGAATGATAGTGGAAGGGTCAGGAGTTATGTCGAGATTCTGTTTGATGGATTGAAGCACCTGTCAGAAAGAGAGAGTGGATACATGCACAGTGAGATTACTTGTTACAAAACAGCAGGAGAGGAACCACAAAAGAAGCAGAGCAGCAAAAACAGACCTTGGTGGACTCGAAAACGCCCTCGGGGTCGTTCAAGGCCATCCAGCCAATTTTCCATCCGGGAACAACCCATCCCTTAGATATGCCTCCCAGCGTCAACACGGGAACGATCGATGCGAACTTCCCCATCGGAACGAAGGGGTTGTCTCCGAATATAGTTTGGTCGTACACTTCGTCTGTGATCACCATTATCCCCAGCTTCCGTGCCGTCTCTGCAACCTAGCAATGTTCATAAGTGAATCAAAAGTTTCAAGCTTTAGCTGAGTTATGAATCAGAAAGGGCTCAAAGTTTTAAGCTTTATAAGAGGATGAGCATTTTTCGGGGTGTTATGGAGCAAACCTTTTGGAGATGGTCGTGAGAGTAGACGTTTCCACAGGGGTTGTTGGGGTTAATCACGACCAAGGCCACAGTGTTCTCGTCTGCAATGGCCTCGATTCCTTCGAGATCAATCTCCCATTCTTTGTTGGGAAGAAGATCGAACTTGCGGATCTCGAGACCACTGTAAAGAGCACGAGCGTCGTAGTGAGGGAAGCCAGGACGTGGGAGCAAGATGTTTGCGTTCGGTCGAGCCAACGATTCGAACAGGATCTCTATCCCTTGGTTGCATCCAGCGGTCAGGAAGATGTCGTCGGGCGTTAGCTTGTTCGGAAGATCTTTGTTCAGATAATCGGCGACGGCTCTGTCCACAACGACGGCAAAAATCAACCAAATGCAGATCGATTTATAGCATAAATAAGTTATGGGGCCTATCTATAAGAATAATCAACAATAGAGTCTTAAAAAATCAATTTCAAGAGTACACTCGACTTGTGTGTTCTTCTGACGAAATCGAGTCAAAATTGATTCATCTTGTTGACTAAATTCGAGGAATGCACATCGAAACTCGCTCGATTGAAATGGAAGATCGAGATTTGAGTTGATCGGAACTGTAATACCTTCTGGCCGGGAGAATCCCAGCTCCGGGACCGTAGGAGTTGCATTTTCCGGATCGGAGGACGTCGACGACGGCGTCCTCAGCCTCGATACAGGTGCGGAAGCAAGGGTAGACGGACGGATCTCCATGGCCGAGGGGCAAAACGGTCTTTTTGACGTCCTTGCTGCAGTTATCGAAGAGCATGTAGATAACACCTCTCAGCGTTACGGTGGAGGCTTTCGCGGCCTTATCGGTTCCACCGAACCGCCAAACGGTACCGTGGCCATTCTGCGTTTGCGTTTTGAGCTCTTTCTCAGTTCGAAACGCGGGAACCACAAGGTTGGCGTGTGCTTGTTCTTCGCTCATCTTCTTATCTCTTTTGTACGTTTTTTTTGCCCGTCTGCGATTGCGTTTTCTGTGTTTTGCTCGTTGATTCTTGTATATATGAAGCCAACCAAAAAAAGTATGTGGAAAATATCTGTAACGTTTGAAATTTCAAAGGGCAGAGATTGTTGTTGAATATCAACAAAGTTCGAACAATCTTGGTGAGACCTACCAGCTTAACCCAAACACAAACCACGTGCCAAATATAATAAAACAATTGGCCAATCAAAAGAGGTTTTGTAAACGATTTTATTGGGCCTAGCCTAATTAACCGGGTAACGAACCGGGTTCAGTTCAGTTTGATACCAATTCGGTTACATGATCATCAACTCTACTTATTAGTGCCTCTAGTATGAGACCAAGTATGAAAATCTACCTTTTATATGTTTTAATCTCAATTTTGTATGTTTTAAACTTGTTATTTGTATAACTACCTTTTATAAGAATACAAGTATCATATATATGATTAATTGTAAAAAGTTAATCTTGTAAATTTGTTCATAACAAACTGATGAGTAAGGAGATTTAAATAGCTTGTGCATAACAGCTTTTTGTTCTAGTGATGAGAATTACTTGATCACACTCACACAGCATGAAGGATTCACATGCCTTTTGTTTCTCTCTTACACACTTTGATTGGTAAAATTAGTAGAGAAACAGGTCTTATCACTGGAACCTTACAACGATACAGGAGATGTCGTCTCTGCTTTTCTTAGAGATTGCTTCCTCTATCAACTCCATGGCTGCCGCTTGTGGATCTTTTATGCTTTTGATCGCGTCCACAGCTTCTTGGTTCGTCATCACCTGTTGATGACACAATCCTCGTCAACAAATCAAATCCAGACCACACCGAGAGAGAGAGAGAGAGAGAGAGAGAGAGAGAGAGAGAGAGAGAGAGAGAGAGAGAGAGAGAGAGATCCACATACCTTCCAGATTCCATCACTGGCGAAAACAATGAACTCGGTCTCACCATCGATGGCCTGGTGTGTTATGTCCGGTTCAGAGCTCAGATGTATCTTTAAGCTCTTATCTCCAAACGCCCTTGCAACCGCTAGTTGTCCGTCAACTCTTGGGACGTCCCCTGTAACATTTAGGGATCGTGTATCAATTGCTTTTCACACAAGTAAGTACCAATGTAAAGAAACCTAAACTGTGTAGTGTACCTGGAATATTTGATACAAAGCCACCACGGCTCTCGATTTCCTTTCGCTCCTTGCTTGGTTCATGATCAACCGAGAGCTGAGATGCAACACCATTCTTTGACATCACCGCACGCGAGTCTCCAACGTTGGCAACCACTAGCTTTTCCCCATCTATCAGAATTCCTGTTACTGCCGTTGATCCTCCTTTGCCAAGCTTAAGCGACTGCTCTAATATCGCAGCATCTGTTGATGTGTACGCTTCCCTTATAGCCTTGTCCGTATCAGTCCAAAAGTCCTTCTGAGAAAAAAGAGAGAAACAAAACACTTGATAGAAGAATTCAGACCAAACAAACAAACAAAAATCAAGATTCTTACCTCTTTGAGAATGTTGTCAAAGAGATTGGTCTGCAAGTACTTGGCAACATCATGCCCCAAGTGACCGTCGAAGATGGCAAACAAACCCAAGTCATGGCCGTTCACTTTCTTGAACTCAGACACAACGTAGTCCTCCATGGGATGGCTCGCTTTGCCTTTGACAAAGTGAAAACCGTGCGCCATGTTCTTCCACGTCTTGCTCTTACCTCTGCCCGCCTCATCAGATCCGCAGAATCCAGCCTTCAACTATTCATTCACAGCAAAACATCAAGAGTTTATGATTAAATCACAAAAGAAACTAAAGAGATCCACATTCCTCATCACATCCTAAGAAGCAGAAATCGGTTCTGAAACAGGACACGAGAGATCACAAAAGGGCATCCGGAATCTAGATTCATAAACAGTAGAAAGACACTTGAAACGCGATCAAAGGAGACTAGAGTGAAGCATATAGAGCATATACCTTCATCTTGTGGAGAATCTCTCTGCCTGTCATTGTGGCTTGTGAGAAGGAATTGTTATCTCTGTGGAAGCTGTGAAATGTGAATGCCGACGACTTTTCTTCGTCTTCCCTCCCAGCTTCCTTTATATTTTATTTTTCTTTTAAAAAACCCAAAAATTAATATAAATCCATAAACATATTCTCTCTTTAATGATCTGTCGTGTATTGCTAGAATTGTAGATTCTCTCACATCGCCGACAGGCCCGACACACACAGAGAAAAAATACTATAAGATTTCTAATTATTTTAACATACAAAATGGTATTTCGTAACACATCATCGTCCGAAACATTATTATTGTTGGAAAAACAAATCTTATTGAGTAATAAATGTATGTTGGTTGGATTTCAATTTTTTTCTCCATCAGTTTTCTTGGTTCATGACATTGGTTTGATTTCATTCTTTTTTTTTTAACATACAGATACAGTATAGTATTTCTCTCCCTAGTATGTATACTACATAAATGTACAGTTTGTTGAGTTTCTCTTGAAAAATGGGCCACATATTGTACACCACGTAGGCCCACTAGTACCAATGGGCTATACAACTAACAGTAGCGCTCCAACAAGTTTTGAATTTCAAAAGTAAACCATTTTTATTTTATTTTATTTTAAAGGTTTCACTTCCCTCTCTCTCTCTCTTCCCTTTTCTCTCCACTTTCTCACTGCGAAAAAGTGAAAATGGCAATCGGTTACAGAGACACCGCCGATGAATCTACCTCCGCCGGCGACCCTCTCTTCCCGTGGCTTCTGTAAATAGAAATTTTACTTGCTGTTCAACTATGCCGAGTGTCAAAGAGAGTTTCTGATTTTCCATGTGTTTGGGTTTCAGGAGGATTAAAAATTCGACGGAAGATGTATTTTCTGGTAGAATTTCCGGAGAAGATCTCGACAAGCTTCTTTATGAATGTATCTCAACTTGCAAGCGGGACGCTCGGTACCGAAATGACGTCAGATTCCTCAAGATCTGGTTTCTCTACGTAATAACCCCTATCCTTTACCATACTCCCTCCTAGTTGCGCCGAGCTTCAATGGGCTCCCGTTTCCTCGAATTGATTTTGTTGATTAGAGTGCTTAGGTTTTGGATTGTGAAATGTCATCATAGTTTGTGGGTTTTGATCGAATTGTGTTTTTGGTGGATCTAGCTTGAGGGCTGTGAAGATTTTGAGAGGGTTTTTAGAGAAGTTGAAGAGAACGAGATATGCATAGGGCATTCGTTGCTCTATGAATGGTATGCCCTTTTTCTCGAGGTCAAAGGATTATGGCGACGAGCAAATTTGGTTTATCAGACTGGTCTTTCAAGGTCTCTCATCTTTCTCCTTCATTTTTGTTCCTCTACTTAGCAATTTCGTTTCTGATTTGTTGCTCCTTCTGCAGGAAGGCTGAACCCTTTGACAGGTTAAAAGAGGCTCACTCACTGTTCTTACAAAGAATCTCAAAGAGGACCAAAGCATCCTCCCTTCAGAAGGTTTATTTTCAAATACGAGTAGCACTTTGATAGCTTTAGTTGAAGATTGAACGGAGTTTCCCTTGTATTTTGTTGTTTGTAAACTTTAATCTTCTGGCAGATTGGTGAAGATGCTCCGGCCATTGACTTTGAGACGGGTTCTGTAAATCCATGGGACACCTCCACTGTGACAGAATTAATTGATAGGATACAACCAGAGCTTGTGAAATATGATGTAAGACCAACGGAAAATCATGATTATTTTCTCATGATTCAACACATAGGGAGGCCTGCCCACTGAGTTTCCTTCTTTATGTTTGCATCAGGGGTACTATGCAACCAACAAAGTCTTCCCTGGAAAATCCAATCTGTCAACTTTGCTCAACTCTTCCAGAAATAAGGTCGTTGAGATAGGTACACTTATGAGAGCTCTGAGTTACACATCTGCATGATAAAGAACGTTTCTCTTAAAGTTAAAAGATGCATCAGAGTTGTGGATTTTATCTGTAATCTGAATTCTGCAATTTACAATCTAATCTGATTCCGGCTTTGCTCAATTTTAATACTAAGAAACAAACAAAAAAATTTGAAGAAGATACATTGGTCTCTGTATAATTGCAAGGTAGAAGGAAGTACCAGATCAAGGGTTGTGCTGGTCAAGGTGGTTTTGCTCAAGTGTTCAAAGCATTCATTGACAGCAACCCTGATGAAGTAGTTGCTCTAAAGGTAGGCCCTTGAAGTTTTTTCAAATACAGTAATATGCCAAATGATTTCGGGTAGCTCGCATTACATATTGCATATACTCTCTTCACAGGTACAAAAGCCACCTTTCCCCTGGGAATTCCACATGTATCGCCAACTTGATTCCAGGATCCCGGAGAACCAAGTATGCACTTTTCCATTAATCTTACTAGGCCACAGGCGTTTTCACACCATACTTATTACTTTCATACTATGTTAGAGATCGAGTTTTGGGTTGGCTCAGAGAGTGCACGTGTATTCAGACTACAGTATACTCGTGTGCGATTATCTATCAAACGGGACACTCCAGGTATACTTGTGTGCGATTATCTATCACACGGGACACTCCAGAGTATGAGTAACTATATTTGATTTTTGTGATTTTAGGACGTCATAAACTCGTATGCCGTTGTTGGCGGCAAGTTCATGGAAGAAGTTTTGTGCATGTATTACACAATAGAGATGTTGTACATGCTGGAAACTTTGCACGGTGTTGGAATCATTCATGGTGATTTCAAGCCAGACAATCTGCTGATCCGATACCCTCCGTAAGTCGCTTATTAGATTGTCAATTGCGGAATTTAGCCTATATATAATCTTTTAAGCCAGACAATCGTTTAATCATGAAGCGTACTTGTACGTTCACAATCGTAGCAGAAACTTAGATATCGCACTAATTACTTGCAGACCAAACCTAACCGAGACAGGATTTCATGAGAAAACAGGTTCTTGGAGCAATCAGGTAAATCCCTTATACAAGTAGTAGTTCTGATTCGGGTGTTATATCTACAATCTGATGAAATTTGACATTTTTTCCGAACTCAGGGTCTCTGCCTTGTCGACTGGGGTAGAGGAATAGACTTGAGCCTGTTTCCTAGCACCATCGAGTTTACAGGAGATTGTCGTACCTCAGGCTTCCGTTGCACGGAGATGAAGGAGAACAAACCTTGGAAGTTTCAGGCAAGTCTTTTCTACTCCCATGGTTTCAGCAAGAACCCGTTTTTGCATGATTAGACTTGAAACCAAGCGAGGCTATTGGAACATGTGTTGTATAGGTGGACACATACGGACTCTGTGTAATCGTGCACATGATGCTGCACAACACCTACATGGAGGTTGGAAAGAAACAAGCACTCGACGGTAGCTACATCAATTTGCCGAGAACTTCGTTTAAAAGGTGCGCTTATTTCTCAAAGAATCAACGATCGATTTCTTCTTGAATTGATATTATATCGATCGATACACAAAGTTGCTCGATCTATAACTTGGCAGATACTGGAATGTGGATCTGTGGAAGGAACTGTTCACGAGGCTGCTCAACAGAGAGACTTGTGGAGATGACACGGAGACACTGAGGAATCTGAGGAAGTCCATGGAAGAGTATGTATGCTCTGATCCGAAGCTCATGAACAAGCTTAACGAGTTACTCGCCAAACAACGCGTCTCTTTATGTTCTTCGTAGTTATATATCACTTGGTAATTAAAGAGTCTCTGTAAAGTCTGTTTTTTCTGTGAAAAAAAAAAAACTTGCAGAGGCTTTGCTTGCCTCTCATGTAAGTTGCGTTTAGTGTCAGAGACATGAGGAGAGATTTTTACTGAAGCTTTTGTATTTTATTGAACATTTATTAGTAGCCAAATGCCATGGATGTGTGAAAAGTAACCACTTGTTTCAGAAATAAACTTAATCAATTATTGAGAATGGTAGCGACCAAAGAGATTAAAGCGAAACAAAAATTGTGAAAGGTAAATCATTGTTTGTATATGTTTAAGATTTTTACTTAACAGAGATTAGATTATTACACAATTCGTACAAATGCCTAATCCGCAGTGTCAATGTCTCTGCTCTGTTTTGGTCTAATCTCTTGACAAGACCTAAGAAACCAAAGATGTAATGTTTCAAAACATATTTAGTTTTTTTTTTGTTTGGAAAGAGTCCACGCAACCAAGAACAGACAGTATCTGATACCTGCAATTAATGTGGGGGTGGGAGAGTTAATAAGATGGTTCCTAGAGGGAAACCGAAGATCCTCTTAAGCTGGAGGAAGCGTGCGACGACATGTTGGGCACTCCATCTTTATGTCCATCCATCTCTGTAAGCATCCCGAGTGGAACAAATGCTCACACGGCGTTACCATGCAATCATTGTTGCTGTGCCTCAGATCAATTGTGGTCATGCAGATTACGCAGTCCCTGCTTCTGTTTACATCTTGCTCAAATCTTCTGTAGTAGCTGTACTTCTCAGGTAGCATCTGCCCGCAAACAAACACATGATGAAGCAATTTTACTTACTATTGATCCCAAAAAGGCAAACAAAGTTATCAACAAACAAACCTTCCTAGGGACAAAGCAACGCGACCCAAAGTAATGCTGAAGAAGAAGAAGTGCAGCTTGAAACCCGGTGAATGTGCACAGGCCTATGCACCAGGCCTTGCTGGGCTCTACACGCATGAAGTTCTTGGGGCATCCAAAGACATACAACGGTATAGCAAGCCGTGTGACCGTCATCCCCAAGATATAATAAGGGTGCAGAGGCTTTCTAGAATCACGAACAACGTTTGCAACTATCTGCGGAATCCAAAATGAGTACATGAGGAGGAGTATCAGCCGCATGTAGCTGTGCAGCTCATACATTATCAGTATCCCTCCGAGAAGGATTCCATCTGTTGAAATGAGGGAAACATCAAACCTGAACCTGTGTGTATCTGAAGAAGCGTTTACTTACACAGAGAAATCTCAAAATACTTACAGAAGCGGCTGTACAGAAAGGAGAGCTCACGCCTCATCGTCTCCCAGCCCTCACCGCTGTTTGAAGGCCGGGTTGCTTTCCATATGGCCAAAAGATACCTCATTTCAAATATCGAAAACACTACGAATTTGAAGAAGGCAGCTGTGGCAAATGCGTTAAATAGTGACTCTGCACAAGAAAGAGACAAGGGTTTACAGAATGATTGAGAGAAGCATCATGACAAGGTCAAGAAACAGACACTTTGAAGGATCATTTCCATCAAAATACATACCAACTAAAATCCCGGCTGTGAGGTGTAAAAGGCACAGATAAGAATCCATGATGGCTTGCTGCCCGATCATTACAATAGAGATCTTTGCAGCGCCCTTTGTATACAATAAGATATTATCCCAATGTCAAGCATCATTCAAAAAAGATCAGTTTAGCAAACATGAGAGAATCTTACGGATTGTGTGTTACTGTGCTCCATTTGCCGGATCAACAACAGAACCTGGAGGAACGAGACCTAAGTACAGTACCAAGTTAAGGAACCCACTAAAACTGGGATCTGTGATGGAACGGAGGAAAAAAGGTTGGAACAAAGGATACAAAAGTGACCATTAATGTATAGTTGACAGCTTTGTTATAGTAGACTTCAACGTTTATGGAAGTTGCATTCAGCAACAAGGGTGAGAAACAATCTTCGTCACCATCTACTGCAGGACTTTCCATCAACCCTTCGATATGAAAATAATCTTTGTCCCCATCTACCAAAATAAGTAAACTAAATTTAACTAATATGGCAAGAACACAGCCAGCAACATCAAATTCAACGTATAATGTTAAAAAAAAAGGCATACATACTGTTTTCACTAGAAGCGGCTCGGGATATCTGGGCTGCTATTTCGATATTACAGTGCTTCTCCATCTCATATATTGGAGCTGAACACACAAGACAGTCCAAGGTAAGATACGCAGCAGCAAAGTAGACCATATGGAACACGCATTCAGATCCTACTCACAAGTCTTGTGTTTCAATATTCCGTCTCTTGGAGATTCTTGAAACACTTGAGAGGAAAAAATTCCGAGCTGTCACCAACAGCAGAAGAGCTGAAACTAGTAAAGCTCTCCAAAACATTTGAAGGCATAGAATAAAGATAACAAGCAATCATCATATCAGGGCATTACCAGATGATAGGGGTTGGAGAGAAGATAATCGTCTTCTACTCCTGAGTCTCCCTTCTTCCCGCTGAAGTGAAAAGTACAAAACTTAAGAACCAATACTGAATCTTGAAAAGCAGTTAAGTGAATCGATGAAGAAGGTACCTATTAGCAACAAGACGGAGCTGTCTAAAGGGCCAAATATATACACCTTCCACTTTGATTTGAGCGCCACCAACATTGTGTTCATTGTCAAATACGTCATGGAAAACAACTGCGCCCTGTTCCCATTATAAATAAATGTTGATACAAGTTGCAAATAAAGATTGAAAGCATGAATATCAGCAACAAGTATTCTCCTTCACCTGAACATAATGCACACCAGTGATCTTCGTTGGGCTTGTGACTAACTCGATGACAGAGTTGCCATTTTCGTTTCTGAAATGTGGGAACTTTGAAGAGCTGTTTACGGTATCTAGAAACTTCCAGGTGCCTGTAACAGAGCAAGGAAGGGCAGATGATGAGATTACTGTATATGATATCGAAGCAGAAACACACAAAGACAATCAACAAAGAACCTCTATATGTTCCTGTAATGTTCCACGCGGAAAATGGTCCTGCTCCGCTCTTGTCCTTCTTCCCAAAAAGCCACTGCAACAACATTCGTAACTAACTCGCGAAACCAAAATTGGACCAATCTCTCATCAGAATCAACACGAACCTGGTCGCCCCAGGATCGAGCGGTCTCCCTTATGGGTCTAAGTGCATTGGCTTCTTGCGAAACGGCAAACCAAATAGATAAACCAAAGAGGAGACCGAACCGGAAATTAGCCCGCTTCTTCATAGCAAAACCCCAAAATCCCATGAGAAAGATGAATTCACAATGCAGGCTGCATCAGAATGATCCATGAGGGCATAAAAAGGAGAAGAAGAAAGGAGGTTGCTTCAAGTGAAGTCAAAACAAATCAAATCGGAACGGATTAGCTCAAGAGAAAGTGAGAGCCCAACAAACTGAGTTTTCCTGCAACACGAAATTCAAAGAACCCAATTTAAAAGTTTATAGTATTATTATTGTTTGTTTGTACCAAACAGCAACTTGCACAAGATTAACATACGTATCTGGATTCCAACGATTTGACTTTGAAAGCTTCAAACTTCAAACCCAGGTCGTTCCAGATTCTCCGATTCCTCCTTGCCCAGAAAGTTGGAAACTTTTTTCCCTCTCTACGGTGATAATATTTGTTTGGTCAGCGAACAAAACTGCAAACTTGGAAAGGATTTACTTTGTAACGTTTTCACTCTTTGAAGACCCATCACCGAGATTTATGCATACGCATGTGCATATATACAAATGTCAATTATACGTCTCAACCAAAAATAATACAAATGTCAATTATGTAACATTTCATACCATTATATCTAATCACTCAAAAGCAACACAAACACCCAATTGATTTTAAACCGTTCGCGCCCTCCATTACTTTGTCGGTGATGAGTTATAACATTTTCTTGAAAGAATTAGTCATGAAACATTCGCATAAACAAACTCGAAAATTTAACATTTTTTGTGTATAATACACATATATCGACAACAAAATAAATAATCAATTTTACAGTCTTAAAAAAAAGTTTCACTAAAAAAACTCAAAAATTTAACATTTTCTCGCCTAGATAATAATAAAAATATTTTGACAAGAGAAGAAAAAAATTAATCCTGCAAATTTAAGATGAAAAAATCACTGAAAGGAAAATTCAATATTTTCTTATGTATGCGTTAATACATATATCTCCACAAGAAAGATAAAATAACTAGTCCTGCAAACTTCAGAGAAAAATTCTCAGAAAAAAATTCGAAAATGTAAGATTTTATTGTGTGTGTGCTAATACACATATCTTGACAAGAAAATAAAAGAATTCGTCCTGCAAATTTAAAGAAAAAATTCTCTAAAAGAAGCTCGAAAATATAACGTTTTCTTGTGTGTGTTAATACACATATCTTGAAAAAAAAAATTAGTCCTACAAACTTAACGGGAAAAATTCTTTGAAAAAAACTCAAAAATGTTACATTTTCTTGTGTGTGTGTGCTAATACACATATCTTGACAAAAAAATAGTCCTGCAAACTTAAAGGGAAAAATTTTCTAAAAGAAACTCGAAAGTTTAACATTTTTTGTGTGTATGTTAATACACATATCTCGATAAGAAAATAAACGAATTAGTCCTGCAAACTTAAGGAGAAAAATTCCCTGAAAGAAACTCGAGGGGGAACAAGCACACTTGGAGAGCACAGTACAACAGAGAGTTGTATGCTGCGTTCGGGTCACTGCGACCCCCTTTGTGAGGAGGCACCCCTTCTCCCGAAAGCGCCGTGGAGAGCAACAAAAGCCCATAGACCACCTAATTGAAATTTAATATTTTCTTTTGTGTGTGTTAATACACATATCTTCACAAGAAAATAAAAAATTAGTCCCGTGAATTTAAGGGGAAAAAAATCCCTGAAAGAAATTTGATTTTTTTTATATTTCTTCTGTGTGTGTCAATACACATACCTTGACAAGAAAATAAAAGAATTAGTCCTGCAAACTTCAGGGGAAAAATGTAACGCCCCGACTGCCCCTATCGGTGAGGACACCCATCCCTCTGTCTGGCTCGTAGGCTCCACCCCTGTCCGATGGCTGATGCGTTATTTTTCTCGGAGGCCCGACCGACTTATTTACTGACCCTGCAATCACCACACGATACTTCTCTGTGTTTTGTCCTCACTCACACAATTCCGGGAAGGACTTTCCGAAAGGTCATTCATCCTAGTGTTACTCTAGTCCAATCACGCTTAACTCTGGAGTTCTCCCAAGCCCAGTGACCGAAAAGACAAGTGCACTTTAATGACATAGGTAGCCAAATCAATCCATTTAAACTTAATCAAATAGGCCGGATCCGGGTCGTTACAAAAAAATTTCTGAAAGAAATTCAAAAATTTAACATTTTCTTGTGTGTTTGTTAATACACATATCTTGACAAGAAAATAAAAGAATTAGTCTTGCAAACTTAAGGGGGAAAATTCCATCAAAGAAACTCAAAAATTTAACATTTTATTGTGAGTGTTAATACACATACCTTGACAAGAAAATACAAGAATTAGTCCTGCAAACCTAAGAGGAAATATTCTCTGAAAAAAACTCAAAAATTTAACATTTTCTTGTGTGTGCTAATATACATATCTTGACCAAAAAAACTAGTCCTGCATCTTAAGGGGAAAATTTCCCTGAAATAAACTCAAAAATTTAACATGTTCTTATGTGTGTGTTAATAGATATATCTTGACAAGAAAATAAAAAAATTAGTCCTGTAAACTTATGAGGAAAAATTCAATCAAAGAAACTCAAAAATTTAATATTTTATTGTTTGTGTGTTAATACACATACCTTGACAAAAAAAATAACAGAATTAGTCCTGTAAACTTAATGGGAAAATATCCATAAAAGAAAATTTGAACATTTTCTTGTGTGTGTGTTAATACACATATCTTGAGAAGAAAATAAAAAAAATTAGTCCTGCAAATTTAATGGCAAATTCAATTTATGACACAAGCTTATGTATATTTTTATTGATAATTTTATCATTACTTATATTTTCTGTGAATTTATTAACATTTATAAATATGTTAAAAACTAAAACTTATAAATAACAACATTTTTATAAAAAAACATTGTAGGTAAAAACCAAAAACTAAACAAATTACCATTCAACTTTTTAAAAAATCAAAATCTACTGCAAAAATCCAAAACTAAAAACCAAAAACTCCAAAAATCTAAAACCAAAAGCTAAAAACCATAAAATTTAAATTTAAATCGTGGTAACTAGTAAATTTTTTTTATTACATTTAAAAGAATAACTAGATTTTGGACCTGCGCACTTGCGCGAATTTCTTTTTATAAAATATTTTTGGATTATAGCAAAAATCGGTTTATAGTAAACTTTTGTTCAAAAGAAAAATTAGCTTATATTATTAAATCTAAAATGTGGCCCAAACCGAAATTTCTTATTAGATTATATAAATTATTTTAACATTATGGTTTTATGTTCTTAAAATTTTTTAAACTTAATTTTATAAAATAAAATATTTTGATTAGCGGATTTTTTGTTAAGTTTCGTAACAAATATTTTAAAATATTATGTTTTATAATGCAAGAGAGAATTTATTTGTTTGTAATTAAGATTTTTATGCTTTGTTTGTTTTTGCCTCCAAATATTTATTTGGATGCAAATAATCTCAAATATTGTTTTTTAAATATTTTTAAATCAGTATGTAGATATTTTATTTAAATAAAAATTTTATAATATCTCAAAATTTGGATATTTAAAATGATAAAAATAGAGATTTGATGCAGCATTTGAATTTCAAAAATTAACTGATAAAAACATCCTTTAATTTAAACCACAAAATCAAGTTTTTTTGTCAAAACCATTTTTTCTGTCGAAATAAAAAGGCGCATTTTTCCGCAAAATCGTAAAATCACGTTGTTGTATCAAAACCGAAAATTCTGATAGAAACTGTAAAAATAGCATTTTTCACCAAACTGTATTTTCCTGCCAAAACTGTAAACTCACATTTTTTTAACAAAACGAAAAATTATGTTTTCCCCCAACACCGTAAAATCGTATTATATGGCTAAATTTCTAAAATTAAGTAGTTTTTGTCAAACTTGCAAAATTACATTTTGTCGTCAAACCCACAAACCTGCATTTTCAATAAAGTCCATAAAACCATATTTTCCATCAAAACCTATAAAATCCGCAAAAACATGTAACCTCATAAAATTCGCAAAATCACGTTTCCCACCATATCCACAAAACCCGTGTTTTTCCGTAATATTATAAAATCCATAAAATTATGTTATACGACCAAATTTCTAAACTCATGTGTTTCTGCCAAACTCACAAACCCGCATTTTCATGTATGACTACATTTTCTCGCTAAAACCTGTAAAACCCATAAAATCCGCAAAATTGTGTTATTCGTATTTCGTAAACCCGTGTTTTCTGTAAACCCCGTAAAATCTGCAAAATCATGATTTACGACCAAATTTCAAAAATTATGTATTTCAGCTAAATCTACAAAAGCACATTTGTTGTCAAACTGGCATTTTTTCGGAAAACTATATTTTCTGCTAAAATTTATAAAATCCGTTAAAATTTGTAAAACCTGTAAAATCTACAAAATTGTGTTTGTCAAATCCGCAAACCCATAATTTTCCGCAAAAAAATCATTAACAAACCAGAAAAACTAAATTATTTACATAATATTTTTTTCATAGTATGTATATATGTAACAAAAAAATAATGATTATATATTCATCACTGACTATAAATTACCACATTTAGTAAATACTATAATAATTTTTAGATATTGTAAAGTAGTGATTTTTTTTAATACTATAGAGAAAAAATTGATTATAATATAATATATATTTAATTTATTATATAATATATATAATTACATTAGTTATTCATGTCATATATATGTGGTATTTATGTTAAGATATTATAAAAGATTTTAAAATAATTTCAAAATTAAATTAAATTAAATTTTATTAGTATTAGATATGATTTATTAGTATTATCTGTTAAAAAGCTAATATAATTTAAATTAATTTAATATATTTATTAACAATTTAATGATAAAACTAAATTACCTTTAATGAATCTATAGAAATTTAATGGCATATATTGTAAATAACACAATAACTAAAGGTTAATTTAAAAATAGGATCCTCTTTTAATAGTATAGATGATATAACTAATATTACCATATCTTGGATTTACTAGTGAATCTATTACTAATAAA